GGATGTTGAATAAACATTTAGGCTTCACAAATGGAATTTGTTGGATAGCAGACAACAGAGGAATTCCTTAGAATATTACATCAAGTGGGGGGGGGAGGGAAAGGTTGTACATGAGGAAAAAAATATTTGGGATGAAAAAAGTTTTCATTCTCTATCCTTTCCCTAGTAATTTTTTTTTATTATTTTCTAGCAAAAAAATATTTTAAATTTACATTCATTTTCTATTTAAGTATTAAACTATATCCTTTAAAAAGTTAGCCAGGGCTCACAGGCTGAACTGGATGATAATTCAAAAAACAAACAAAAGGAACAGAAAGGAAAAACCCAAACAAAACATTAGCTTAATACTATTACTCTCATTTGCCCTTTCCCCCACTTCTTCCACATTCCTTTTCAATCATAGCTTGGTCATGCCAGATTCCTTACTCTATATTTCAATAAGCAAAAGTTCTAAAATTCCTTACAAGCCAACTTAACAAAAATTTAGAAAGTTTCCCCCCCCCCCCGGGAGGTGGGGGTGTCCCCTCTACATAGCCCTGAGTGTCCTAGAACTCACTATGTACTCACTATGTAGAACAGGATGACCTCAAACTCAGAAATAGCCAACTGTGTCTGCCTCCTGCGTAATGAAATTAAATGTGTGGGCCACTAGGCCAGGCCTTTTTTTTTTTTTTTTAAACAAACACCAAACAAACACTACTACTTTATAATAATTATGCATGATTTCAGTTAAGGTAGGCAACACACTTCAACCCCACGCTCTCCCCCCCCCAAAAAAAAGCCATGTGAGGTAACACAAGCCTATAATTCCATGACTTAGTTGGTGTGAAATAGAATCTCCAATTTGAGGTCAACTGGGCCACAGCAAGTCTGAGTCCAATACCTGTCATAATCGTTTTTATTAAATTCTGACTTTTATGGCAACAGCTTGATTTAGAGGTTGTGTGGCAGCCTGCCTTGGGTAGTAAAAGAACTGGAGTCTGACACTGGGAGGTATGTGACTTTGGTGAATCAGAACATTTCTGAGTTTTAGTTTTCCACCTATAACACAGTGAATCTTATCAGATGTAGTGGAGCATGCCTTTAATCTAGCACCTGGGAAGCAGGGGGCTCTGATCTCTGTGAACCTAAGGCCAACCTGGTCTATCTAGTAGCCAGCCAGAGCCACAGTGATACTATTTGAACAAAATAAAACTACTGAATATGGTCAGGGAGCTTAAAAGGCCCCAGGAGTGAACTATCATTATTCTGTTAAATGGGCATAGTATCAAACTGCCTTCTCAATTTTTATCTCTTTATCAACAGCTTAGCATATTTCTCAGACCTTATATGAGAAGTTTCTTTGTGCAGTGGGATGGTGGTTAATACAGAAATTATTGACTGATCAAAGTACAGAGACTAAGTGTCAATGTAGTATTCAGCCACACATGGGACATCCATGTCACCCCCCCCCCCAAGACAAATGGACTACTGTGGAAGGTGAAGAGAGACTTTTAAGAGCCAGAGATCAGGGAGAACTGGAGTGAGGTAGTGTCTCCTGGACATGACAGGGCCATTCCATTCATGAACTCTTAGAGGCTGTGACTGACAGCACAAGATCAAGCCAGGTAAACGTTCTAGCACGTAGTGGGAGGTGCTTATGAGACCCCACTCTTAACTGAGAAATTACTGACAGCTGAGGGCTTCTAGGGGAGGAAGAGTCAGTTTTCTTTAAGGGTGTGGCAACCATGTTCCAATGGGTGGCTCTGTACTCATAATAAGTATATAGGTAACACAAATTAGATGATGGCAGGTTATTAAGGTGAGTAGAGGGCACCAAGCTCAAAGACGGTGGGGAGGTAGGGATAGATCTGGGAAGAATTATGGGGAACAGTGAGGTGGTAGTGAATATGATCAAAACACAATGTGTGAAGTTCTCAAAAAATAAAATTGTATTAAAAATTGATGCAGGCTGGTGGCGGCACACGCCTTTAATCCCTGCACTTGGGAGGCAGAGACAAGAAGATTGCTGAGAGTTAGAGGCTACAGAACTCAGGAAAGGCTCTAAAGCTACACAGAGAAACCCTGTTTCAAAAAAAAAAAAAAAAAAAAGATAATATCCATATATCCATATTGCAATGAGAAAAGTCAACCTAGTACTGCCAAGGTAATATAAGAACCAAATACCTGGTGTTTTCAGCTAGAGGGACTAGGTGGCTAAGAGTAGAGGGACATTTACTATATTCTCTTTTATATCATATTGGGTTTCCAAGTATTATCTACTCCCAGAATAAATATGTTCATTCATAATTTCAGAGATTTAAAAAAATAGTTTTTGTTCTCAATATTTTGTTCTCCTCAGTTATTGTCATCCTCTCTTCCAGCTTCATCTTCCATAATAATGATGATTTTTACATCAAGTATAGATTCTATTAAAAAAGAAATTTTAGGGTATGGACTGGAGAGATGGCTCAGTAGTTATGAATACTTGCTGTGCTTGCAAAGGACCCAAATTCCACTCCCAGAACCTATATCTTGCAGCTCACAATTGACTACAACTCTCCAGGGGCCATGATGCCCACTTCTGGCCTCTGCAGGCTCTCTCTCTCTCTCTCTCTCTCTCTCTCTCTCTCTCTCTCTCTCTCTCATACACCCCCCCCACATTTTTATAATTAAAAATAAAATCTTAAAAAACTCTTCTGTAGGCAATACTGTTATAGTCTCTTACACAACTGTGTAGGCTCATATGACATTATTTATATAGATAACATTACCTTTGGTAGAATGCTAATATATCTATATTTTCTGAACCTACTGCCCTTGAGATCAACACTATTTGTGAACCTCAGGGTACTAAAGTGGTCACAGTAGGGCAAACTAGCCTTCAGTGAAATTGAATCTCTGACCTTGGCGTTGTTTTCAGTGAGTCCATTCAGATATCCAATGAGATATGCACTGGTAGTAAATAATCCATTTGGGAAATTTTGGTACTCATATCAAAATTGTAGGTACACTTTTTCTAAAAGTTATATTATTTTAGATATCCCGACAATTTTGCAATACATTAACTTAGTTATGCAAATTTCATTACTGCATTATCATCCTGTACATACTGCTTGAAAATCTATTGCTCTCAATATGCCCGCTGAGGGTAGCATTCACAGTTTTAGAGGCATTTGACATTTGAAGGTTTTACAGGCTAATCCCCACTTTAAACAAAAATCACTAAGTATCTAAAGTGCCTAACTAATAAACAACATGAGGGCTTAACAGTTTTAGACATCCATGAGTACCTTCTATGTACTTCAATAATTTGGTGGAACTATCTATCATCTCCATTTTGGAGGTGAGAAATCTGATATTCAGGAAACTAAAAACACTCACGCTCAAGGTGAGAGTAAAAATTAAAAACTAGAACTGTTTAATCCTCAGACTTAAGCTTATTCATACCTGGGAAATCAGCAAAGGAAATACTATCTTAACCTGTGAATAATGGCTTCATTGCTAGGGCAGAGAGAATGGGCACATGTGCTGACACCATTCATAATTTTAAAATCAAAGGACTTACAGACACTATGTCTAAAGTATTTACTGCTATAACTACTGTTCGCAGGTTTCTGAATTATGAGCCCTGAAAAGCATTACTCTGAAATCTCACTATGATATAGTCAACATAAATGAGTATCAGCTCAACTTGAACCTCATACTGTATCTAATAATTTTTATTGCCCAGTGACTCGGGCAAAAAATTATAAATTGGTCCATCTAAAAGCTGAATAATTTCATAATAAAACATAAGTTACTCAGGTACCTTCGTTCTTATGGGAAATTAACAACTGGGTATTTTAAAAGAATCTCAGGTTCTTTTTGAGGCAACCACTCTTTCTTTTTATGCACACACAAATTTGTCTCTATCTGGAGGCCCACTTCTCACAAAATGCCACCAGAGCTAGAATACCACGGTTTGAGTAACTACGCTTGACACTTTTTAGAATGAACTGGGACTGAAGAACAGGAAAATACACCTCTACAACGGAAAAATGTCTCAGGAGATAAAAATAAGTGATTGACACTGTATGGTGGGTATCACAAAAACTCTGAGAAATTCCGTAAGATAAATACTAACAACAACAACAACAACAAAAATCATAGTTTTCCACAGAGACCAGTTTACTAATATGAAGAACATGAAGAAACCAGAAAAGCATTAACATGACGGGCCCAAGACCTGTACTTAGCACAGAATGTGTTACGGGCTGCATGGATGAAAGGAAGCATTCAACAATATAAATTAAAACTCTTCTTTCAGATCCAAATGCACTTCAGTAAACTTTGGGTGGGGACGAAATAGGAAAACCGGAGTTAACTCTCTTAAGCATTATTTAGCTCGAGCTGCAAGAAACAAGAATCAATCCATTCTTTATCACTACAGAAATGACAAAGTGAGGGCACGAAGGATGTCAAGAATAAAGGCTTAACGAGGTCTGTCCAGAGGAGCTCGATCGGTTCAGGGGCAGGATATGGTGGCCTGGGAGGAGAGCCTGGAAGGGTAGGCGCAAACCCCGAACCCTCACCGCTCCCCTTTCCCCTCTCACCTCTCTGAGCGCAGCTTAACTGGGGCTGTCCGAGCAACTGCCGCCATCATCACCGCCATCACTCGGCGCTCGCTCAAGTGCGGAAGGGAGGCCCGGCCACTCCCGCTCCTCGTGTAGCTCCCGCAAGGCGGATGCCTCTGTGTCTGCCCCCGCCCCCGCTCAGTCAGTCAGTCCAGGGTCAGACTTGCCGCTGTCTCCGTCTGCTCTCCCGGGACCGTCACCACTTCCGGGCTCAGCTCCCACCTTTTCTTTCAGAACCGCCCCAGCCACCGGCTCGCGGCTTCGCGGCGGCGCGCAGCTGACGCCAGCACCGGGCGACCTGGGTCCTGACCTGCGCCGGGCGGCGGGCCGCGCATGCGCACAGGAGAGCGCGCCAGAGCGCGGGAAGCTGCTCAGTGCAGTCCGCTTTTCCTTCAGAGCCTGAGCCTGCAGAGGAGAAGCTTGTCACCTTCTCGGCGTGTGGAGGGACAGACTGTTGCTGTTTCTCCTCGGGTGAGGGAAACAGGACTGCATAGCGCGCAGAGGACGACCCCCACCCCCTGAGAGTACTAGTTCTTAGAAAACGGTTCAGGTAGGCAAAGGGAAAGATGCCGGCCACACAGAAGCCCATGAGGTATGGACATACGGAAGGACACACCGACGTCTGTTTTGATGATTCTGGAAGGTAAGCGTCTTTGGTGTGGATGTCACGATCATGCGCTGCACGTACAGTCAGCTGAAGATGATCGATGCGGAGGGAGACTGGGAGAAACAGGAACTTCTATTTCCTCAGGCTTGTTTGCTTTCAATTGCCGTGGTAGTTCTAAGATCTCAAGAAAGTTAAAATCCTTTTCCCAGAGGAGCGTCTTCTCCTCAATCACAATTTCATTCAGTGTCATGCTTATTTTATGACCTTGCTCATTGCATACTGCTTGTCAAATCCCTCATCCTGTCGGGAATGGTAGCCTCCTTTGGCTTTAGTAAAGGTATTCCTCTTTGTTCTCTCTTTCCTTCCCTTTTCTTTTTAACTTGCTGACTTCGAACCTACTTTGTTCTGTCTCATTCCTAAGCTGTTATTTTACTAAGGCGATTCCCTTACCGTTATTTTGTTTTATATGTGTCTGGTTGAGTATATTTGAGATGCCATGTGGGTGCTGGGAACCGAACCCAGGTCCTCTGAAAGAGCAGTAAGTGCTCGTAGTCATCTCTCCAGCCCCTATTCTTCCTTTTTATCTTTCTAAATGTCATTCCAGTCACTGGAAAGGCGTGGCTCCAGTGCCACACACACCTCTCTGTTCATTGATCCATAAAAAATGTTTGTGAGTCTACTTTTCTGGGCTAGAGATAATGACAAGAAGCCATTACCATTCCTTTATTGAAGTTAAGGTCTTTTTGGAGTAATAGGCATCAGGCACAAATTACAAAATAAATGTATATTTTTGAAATATGCTTGGAACTACTAAGTGATGTGTGCAGTGATAAGCATAGTAGGTCAAAGGGCAGAAAGTGTCTCTAAGGGAGTGTCTTGAAATGAGGGCTGACAATTGAGTAGGTATTAAGTAGTATTAAGAAATAAACATGGCCCAAGGATGTAGCTAAGTGGTGCTACATTCTCCAGCCACATGAAAAAGAAAGAAAAAAGACATACAAAGAGTTGGGGCCCTGGCAGTGAGGTAGGTGGTGATGTTGGCATTCTGAGTATGTTCTAAAGACCAGTGTAGCCAGGGACCCCACTTGCTTAAAAATGAAAGGTGTCCATACTAGAATGTAAAGTGATGTTGAGATTCCTGAGATGATTATGTGAGGGTAAACAGGGAGTGTCCTATGCAAGGCCTTCTGCATTTAAACTTGTTTGGAGAGGGTGGGAGATGGCCAACCAGAGTTGAAATAGACCTGTCATACTAGTGTTTAGGAGGTGGAGGCAGGGGATTCCCAGAACCACTGGCTAGCTAGACTAGATTGATTTTGGGTTCAAGAGAGACCCTGCCTCAGTATGTGAGAGCTATAGAGGAAAATGTGACGTTAACCTTTGGCCTGCACATGCTTGTGCCTGCACATGCACCCACACACATATGAACACATACATAAACACAGGTATGCACACAACATACATACATACATACACACTTGCATGTACACACATAAGAATCTTGGTTTTGTCCTCAATGGGAAGGTATGGAGAAAACAGGTAATCAATTGTTGAGGATAGAGAGAAAGATGTCTGATAATGTGTGCATATAGTGTGTGATAATGTGTGTTATAGTTGAAGAAATGACACTGTCATTTGTGGGTACTGAGAATGCTTGGCACCTGAAGAACATAGTTTAGAGGGGAGGAGGGAGTAGAGATTATGAGTTTGCTGTTGGACAGGGTTAGTATAGAATTTCTTTGAGATGTTCAACTAGAAATGTAAAGAAAACATTTGGAAACCAGAACAATGTGAGCTAGGGTAGAAGCATATGTATTTTTTAAAATTTATTTTGCATACCAGTCACAGTTCCTCCTCCCCTTCCCTGCCCCCACTTCCTCCCAACCCACCCCCATCCCATAAGTAGTCAATAAAGCCTGGAACATTCAGTTGAGGAAGGACCAAGTCTCCCCACCCCCACCCCCCAATTAAGGCTGAGCAAAGCATCCACCTTATAGAATGGGCTTCAAAAAGCCAGCTCAAGACATATATATCTTTACTTGATATAGGCCAGGATTTAGGATTGACATCTTGACTGGGAGCATGAATGGAATTATCAGCATATGTGTAGATAATATCTATCAGCATTAATTTAGATGAAATCACCTAGAGAAGAATGAAGGTAGTAAGAAAAGGGGTTCAAGGGCTAGGTCCAAAAATGTAGATACTATTTTAGAGGAGGGACACCCCATCCCCAAGGAGACTTTAGAGGTGCCCAAAAGAAAAGAAGAGGAAGTAACTGTATTAAATGTTCTTGGTAGGCCAAATTGAAAAGGGATAGTAGATTTAATAACATGGTGGAAATTGATCTTGCGTAAGTTCTGTGGGGTAGAAAGAATGGAAAGCTGTGTTGGATTGGAGTCAGGAGAATGAAAGGGGAGGAATTGAAGTTAGTGAGGATGACGTTCTCAAAGAATTGGATGACATGTGGGGCGAGGAAAGGTTTTTACTTTTAAGGTGAGAGATTACAATAAATATGTTTATGGAGATTATTTAATAGAGAATGAGGGAATTATTAGTAATGGATACCTTAAGGAGGTGAGAAATAGGGACATGGTCAAATTCACAAGTGAAGTGAAGGTAGGATGGAGAGTAAATGTGGTCGACAATAGATTCTTTTTGTTTTCTGAGCAAAGTTGGAAGCAGTTGTTGAAAGATAAGAAAATGTTTGAAAGAAGAGGAGTAGGCATGAGACTAGCAGAGAGGAAGAGTTGGATGGACTAGGGGAATGTAATTGGATTGATGGGCAATGCTAACACTTCTTTGGATTATAATGAATTTGAAATGAGAACAGATAATCTGGATGTATGTTCTTCAACCATGAGTAGCTCTGACAGAGCAAACTTAATAAGAGGAAGGTTTAACCAAACCTGGGAGTTTTGTCATGTGTAACAAAGTGATAGAGGGCTAGAAGGTCAATGAAAAAGGACAGATATTAATGACAGACCATGGGATCTTAAATAGATTAGAAGGAATCTGAGAATTTTAAGGGAGTGCAAAACAAAAGGTTGTTTCAATAAATCATGTATTCTGGATTGGGCAATATGCCTTTAATCCCAACATTGGGCCAGAGGCAGGCAGTTACTTGAGTTTAAGGCCAACTTGGTCTACATAGTAAGTTCCAGGTCAACCAGAGTTACACGGGAAGATTCTGGCTCAAATAAATAAACAAATTTTGTTTTTCAGAGCAATATGAAATTTTTTGAGGGGCCAGAGCGGTGTTTCAGTAGTTAAGAGCACTTCTTGCTCTTGCAGAGGACTTGGGTCTAATTCCGAGCACCCACATGGTTGCTTACAACCATCTGCAACTCTGATTCCAAGGGATCTGATGCCGTTTCTGGTCTCTGAGCACCAAGCAGGCATGTGGTACACAGACTGCATGCAGACAAAAGACTCATACACATAAAATAAGATATTTTATAAAATTGTTTGAGTTGGCATGCTAAGGGCAATAAGGTAAAATGTTAAGTGATTAGAATGGTGGAAATTAAAATTATGAGTCAATTTCAGTATTGCTAGAGGTAAAAATAAGAGTCTAAGCTAGTGACCATGGAGTTAAGGTAGATGACAAGGTCATTAAAGGAGAGGATAGTGTATCAGGAAGTTTCATCAATATGAATATTGAAAAGCACCACTATCTATGATAGGAATGGTGTTTGAGTGAAAATAGTACTAAGTAAATAACTAAAATACTTAAAACAGGAATTTCTTTTTAGAATTTGGAGCCTAGATGGCCTTAGTTAAGTTTGTTTAGAGAGTGAAGCAATAGAAATGGTAATGAATTACAAGAATGGTGTTTTAGTTAGGTTTCTATACTGTGATAAAACACCTTGACCAAGAACAACTTGGAGAGGAAAGCTTACAGTTGTAGTTCATCATGAAAGGGAATTCAGGACTGGAACTGAACAGAGAGCACAGAGGAACACTGCTTACTGCTCATGGCTTGTTCAGCTTGCTTTCTTATACAGCCCTGGACCATGGGTAGCACCACCCACCTGAGTCACTAATTAAGAAAATAACCCATAGGCTTGCTTATAGGCAATCTGATGGAGCTGTTTTCTCACTTGAGTCTCCTCTCCCCAAATATGTCTAGGTTTGTGTCAGCTTGACAAAAGCCAACCAGAACAGATGCCCATCTCTAGTGCATTTTGGTTAATCTCTCCCCACAACCCTCTTATTTCTCTCTCATTTCTGTCACCCCTCCTTCCTCCCTGCCAGTTCCTTTCCAGATTCTTGTCTTTTGTTTTGTGACCCATTTAATCAGGTGTCCACTGGGTTAAGACTGTCCCTTGGAGACAGTAGATACACAGCTAGTAGATACACAGCTAAGGCAATGACTGCCCTTCTTCCTGAACCTTATCAATAGCCAATAGTTCTGCAGGGGGTGGATAGGGCCCTCTCAGGGTCATCTGTGCCATCAGTGCCTGGCTGTTGATTGGTCTGTTCTTTTGCAGATGCAGAATAAGCATCAGCAGTTGTAATTTGCAATGACTCTCTTGCCCAGAAGATGGAATTTAGCAGCTTCCTCTTCCATAGTGTTCCCTGAGCAGTAGAGCACATATGTAAATGCCTTGTTCAGGGCTCAACCCTGAGAAGTCACTTATTCACCTGTGCACATGAGTCTGCATTGACTCCATTCACTGCAAATAGAGGCTTCTCTAATAAAGGCTGAAAGTAGCATTTGTAATGTTCATAAATATTTAGAAGGCAGTTTAAGGCTATTCAGTTTAGCTAAGCAATAGTATTAAGTACCCACTAGGGTCTATGACCTCCCCTGGTATGGACTTCTGAAAGGGTTCACTGTACCAGGAATGGGTTCTTCTTTGTGGAGTAGACCTTGAATCCATTCAGTACTTGGTTACCCCTATAACTGCCATACCACATATGTCCACACTAGTGGACATATCTTGCATAGAAGAAGCTGGTGTCCTAGAGTCAGGGTCTCGTAAAGCACAGGCTTGTTTCAAATTTAATATGTAGCTGAGACCGACTCTGCCTCCCAAACACTGAGATTATCATCAGCACTACCATTCCTGGCTAAACATTTTCTTATGACCCTTTCTGGTTTTCCCATTTTGGAATTAATCATTCTTTTTTCTTCTTTTTTTTTTGTTTTGTTTTTTAAAATACATTTTTAAAAAATTTATTTATTATGTATACAGTGTTCTAGAGAGTGCCAGATCTTATTAGAGATGGTTGTGAGCCACCATGTGGTTGCTGGGAAATGAACTCAGGACCTCTGGAAGAGCAGCCAGTGCTCTTAACCTCTGAGCCATCTCTCCAGCCCCCACTTTTTTCTTCTAAACATTCATTTTATTCATATTCTTTCCTTCCTTCCCTCTCCCTCCCTTCCTCTTTTTTCCCCTACATTTTTAATTTGTTGGATTTTTTTTTTTTTCCGTTTGCCCTATGCTTTTTTTATTTAATTTGCAGGGCTTTTTGGGTTTGTTTTTCAAGACAGGGTTTCTTTGTGTAGCCTTGGCTGTCCTGGAAATTGCTGGCCTTGAACTCAGTCTACCGAGTGCTGGGATTAAAAGTGTGAGCCACCACCACAAGGCTAATTTGCAGCTCTTTTATGTATCCAGATAGGACATAAGAAAATGAACAAAAGCACTTGGGAGATGAGAGGTTTGAAAAACAAGCTATAATGGATGCTTGAAGATATTTTAATAATTATTCTTGTGTATTTGAGCTCATATATTTATTCAGCTATAGTTTCTGTGGGTCATATGCTGCTTGGTACTGGGATATGGTGGTGACTGAGGAGAAATAGCCTTTGTTGTTGCAGGGATTAGGTGCTTACTTTCCCTTACGTTATTACAAGAAAGAAGTTTATGCCAAGGAAGAACTATGGCAAACATTAAACTCATCTTTATTTTATAGAATGAGAAGTTAGCAGTCTATTATTGATGTTTATTTGCAAAAGTGAGAAAAATATTCACTAATGTTTTGATTCTCTTTCAGAATATATAAAGGTAGCATTCCATAAAGAGTGTTCCTGAAACTAAGTGACATTTTAATATGTCTATGTCCTTCACAGTTTTATTGTGACTTGTGGAAGTGATGGTGATGTGAGGATATGGGAAGATTTAGATGATGATGATCCAAAGTCCATTAATGTCGGAGAAAAGGCATTTTCGTGTGCTTTGAAGGTACCTAATTCACTTGATGTGAAGTAATGCTGGCATGTTACTATTTAAAAATTTATTTAAATTCATTTCATGTGCATTGGTGTGAGAGTGTCAGATCCCCTGGAGTTGGAGTTACAGACAGTTGTGAGCTTCCATGTAGGTGCTGGGGATTGAACCCCAGTCCTCTGGAAGAGCAGCCAGTGCTCTTTAACTGCTGAGCCATCTCTCTATCCCCAGGCATGTTACTTTTATGCTTGGGTGAAAAATTATGTAAAAATATAAATTTGTCCTTGCTGCATTTCCCTTGCTCTGTATCATATCTTTGGGGAAGCACTTAGTTTTTCATTTTAAAATGTTTTTATTTTTAATTATGTGTGTGGGCTAGGCGTTGGTGGCATACACCTTTAATCCCAGCACTCGGGAGGCAGAGAGACAGGTGGCTGTCTGTGAATTCGAGGCCAGCCTGGTTTACATATCGAGTTCCAGGACAGGCTCCAAAGCCATAGAGAAACCCTGTCTCGAAAAATAAAAATAAGAAAATAATTAATAATAATAATAATAATAATAATAGGTGTGTGTGTGTTTGCAGTTGCACATCAAATCCAGCAGAGAGCATCAGGTCCCTTGAGGCTAAAGTTATAGGCAGTTGTGAGCCATCTTGCTTGCTGGGAACCCTGGAACATTCAGGTCCTTTGGAAGAGCAGTAAGTGCTCTTAATTGCTGAACCCAAGAGTGAAAATATTTCTTATAGAAGCTTTGAATATATTGAATGCATCTTTCTTTACATCCCTTCCCCTGTGTTTTTGTAACTTTTTGTTTCTTGAGAGAGGGTCTTCTGCAACCAAGGCTGGCCTCAGACTCACTGTGTAGCCAAGGGAGGCCTTGAACTCATGGTACTGTGGAGCCTAAACTGTTTCCATCTACCAAGTGGCACAGTTATAGGCATGTACCATCATGCTGGGTTTATATAGTCTTGGGGATCAAAACCAGGGCTTGGTGCATGCTAGAAGAACACTCTACCAACTGAAGTACATTACAGCCCAGTATCACTGTAATAGCAAACTCTGGAAGCAATTGAGGGAATTCTCAGAGAATTTGTTTTATAACTGTGGTAGAGTCACAAAATAGATATGAAGCTACTAAACAGGGTAGCTTTTATCTGCATCAGAAAAGATGTTTATAATAAATGAAAAAAATTAAAAAGTTATAGAAATATCTGTATAGTGTGATCTTTGTTAAAGGTTTTAAAAATACAAATGTATTTGCATGGGTTTTGGAGAAAGTTAAAACGACAATCTCTGAATGTTAATAGAGATTACTTTATAGTAGAAAGCTCTTTTTGCTCAGAGCACTTTTATTTTGTTGTTTATTTCTTCAATACAAATTTCAAGGAAGAAAAAGTAAATGAGGGTTACATATCAGTTTGCTAGCCCTTGTGTGATGAATGACCACCGACTTGGTGGCTTAACCCCCTCCAACACTTTGGCTTCACAATCCAGGAGGCGAGAAGCCTGAGATTTAAAGTGGCAACAGAATTGACTGTTGCTGGTCTCTGAGGGTAGTCGGTTTTTGTCTGCCTTCTGGTTGCCATGCCATCAGTCCATGTTTCCACATCACTCTGTCTCCTCAATGGGTGCTGCTGTTAGTCTTTATCCTGTTCCAAAGGCATAATGAATGATATATGGTAAGAGAGCTGTGCTGTGGTGACGTGGTCTTTTGCTGTCACCTTCTGCACTGCAGTTGTTTTCTCTGATACTCTCTTTTGAGTCTCCTCATGTTTATGATACATGGTAACCTTTAAGATATACCTATTTTCCTACCAGAACTTAAAAATAAATTACAGGCTAGAGATTGTCTGATGAAGGTAGAATTAAGTTTTCTCACTAGTGTTTACCTTAGGTAAATTGTATACCGATAAGCCCTCTCTCTGCATGGACTACATTTATAAGGCTTTGCGGTTTTTATAGGATTTCTCACTATGGAGATACTATTAACTGATTTGGATTTGTTATGCCAGCATGTCTAATGTTTATTTTCCTTTAAGAATGGAAAATTGGTCACTGCAGTTTCTAATAACACCGTCCAAGTCTATACATTCCCTGAGGGAGTTCCTGATGGCATATTAACACGCTTCACCACAAATGCAAACCACGTGGTCTTCAATGGAGACGGTACTAAAATTGCTGCTGGGTCAAGGTAAGCTCAGCTCCCACACAGAGTTACAAGGGTGATGGTTTTAGGACACTGCACACCTTTATTGTTGTCAACAATAAAGGCTTTTGAGGATGAATTTGTGATTAAAAAAACTAATTAAATACATTGTTTTTAGTGCTGAAAAGATCAGGTAGAGGTGATAACTTGTTGGAAATTTCAAAAAATTGTTTTAGGTAGAACCAGAGTGCAGATTTCTGCAGAATCTCTTTTTTCTTGATTTGTATTGCTTTGTTTTTGAGTCAGGGTTTCTCTGTTGTAGCCTTGGTAGCTCTCCAATTCCCTGTGTAGACCAGACTGGCCTCTGCTGGGTTTAAAGGCACCACTACACCTGGCTTCTGCAGAATCTTTTAATCCTCTTTATAGGAAACAAAACAAAACAAAAAAACAAACACACAAAAAAATCCTTGTTGAATTTGCCGAGGTGGGGTGTGATAGTACATTTTAAAATGGTTGTAATTATTAATTAGATTAGCAATAATGCTTAGAAGTATCCAGAGAGGCCATTTAGGCAATGTTTATATTCTAACAAGGTAAGAAGTTTTGGCTTGTATTTTCAGCTTTTTTTTTTAATTTAATTTATTATTTTACATGTCAATCCCAGTTCCCCCTCCCTCCCTCCCTCATTTTCAGCATTTTTATTGAACAAAATGAAACAGCAAGTTAGTAAATTTGGGTGACAGTCTGCAAGTTGTTATAAAAGAATTTTGAAATGTTTAAGCCATGCTTTAGAAGAGACCTTTGTATTGGCATTTATTCATGCGATCCCTTTTAACTCTTTATAGTGATTTTCTGGTCAAAGTTGTGGATGTGATGGATAACAGCCAGCAGCAAACATTTAGAGGACATGATGCCCCTGTTTTAAGTCTGTCTTTTGATCCTAAGGATATCTTTCTGGTAATTCTTTCATTCCTTTTTTGTTTTCTTCAGTTGCTTAAAGCTATGGGAGAATTGATAGGAAAATTTGCCCTATTGGTAAAAGACTTGTTTTAATCAAATGACCCAATTTCTGTGTGGTATTATGGCTATAATTATAGAGAAATACATTGTTTATTTCTGCAGGCGTCATCTAGTTGTGATGGAACTGTCAGAGTGTGGAATATTTCTGATCAGGTAAATTAGTAAATATAAATTTAAAAATTTTGTCCGTTTCTATGATATTTTCAGTGTTACATAGTATATTATTGATCCAAATAGTTATTTGTTTTTATAATCTGTTTCTTTGAGTAACATTAAGCATAAATATTTTGAGTAATAATTGCTTTTCTACCGGCTCATCGGAGGAACTGTAAATAGTGTTTAATTTTTTTCTCCTAGTATTTAACTTTTAAGCTTGATACATTTAGAAGGTAACTACTCTGTCTGGGGCCTTGTATTAGATGTTGCTGATATAAAAATAAATAAGACAGAAGCTACACTTGATTTGGAGAGTGACATAGAAGCCTGGTACAGGTTTTTTTAAAAAGCTCTCCAGATGGGCAGAGGGAACAATCTGGTCTTCATGGGGCAATCAGTAGGTTTGTCATCATGCAGATACTGTGGCTGATAAGGAAAATATCCTTCACAGATAGGCCTTAGTAGCCACAGTTCCTGCCTGAAGGAAGTAGTTCTGATTTTGATAACTTGGATGTCTTATCATTTTTATGGCAGACCTTCCTTTCTTCTTCTTCTTTTTTTTTTTAAGATTTATTTATTTGTTATATGTACACTGTTCTGTCTACATGTATGCTTGCAGGCCAGAAGGGGAAACCAGATCTCATTACAGATGGTTGTGAGCCACCATGTGGTTGCTGGGAATTGAACTCAGGACCTCTAGAAGAGCAGTTAGTGCTCTTAACCTCTGAGCCATCTCTCCAGCCACTATGGCAGACCTTTCAAAATTTATTTATTTTTGTTGATGTGTTTAATTTAGTGAAGATCTTTTTGACTCGTGAAAATCATGTTTGCTTAATGTGCACAGAAAATGCTTTTGGGTAAAGTTTGTGCTCTTCATGTATCTGAAGGACTTAAAACAGAATACATAGGCTAGTTAGTTGTGATAGTTAAAATGTGTTAAGTGGCTTTTTCCAAAGATAACAAATGGAAGAAACCACTTGATAAGTCTGTTTTGCATCTATTTTGAGAGGAATTTTGATAAAGAGGAGTAAATTTTCCGCTTTTAAAAAACAGGCATGTGCTATTAGTTGGCCAGTACTGCAAAAGTGCAACGACGTGGTGAATGCAAAATCCCTCTGCAGACTCGCGTGGCAGCCTGGAACCGGGAAAGTAAGGATGCATAGTTCCTAGCCCTTAAGTTATTTCTGTCCTTGTTAACTTTTAATGTGAGAAATTTTCTTTTTTATTGTAATTTTATTTGTATCATATATTCTAGAACTCTAAGCCAAATAATACTGAAATGCTTCAAGAAACATTTTAACTTTAAAATATTTTATTGTGTATATGAATGTGATATTTGGGTGTATGTGTGCATGGACTCTCATAAAAGTGAAAGGATAGATCTTTTCAAATTGTATGTTTACATGAATTATTTTTATATTTTTATTTTCATTAGTACTTAATAAAACAACTCTGAAAACAGGACTATATGCAATGTTGAAGAAATATGGAAGTCCTGCTCAGAATAAATGACTCAGTGCTATTTCTAGGAATATTCTGTAAGTGTATTTATACATGTGCACTGCAGTATATAATAAATATACCATTCTAAGAGACTGCAGATGTCTTAGGTGTACATTTATAGAGAACTGGTTAAATAAATGTTGGTAGTCCTGAAAGTTAGATTGTCTCTAATGGTTAGAATGAAGAATATCATTCATGTTTTTATAAAATAGACTTTAACATATGTTAAGTACAAACTGTCAAACTACAAAGTAGTAGGTATAGATAGAATGTTAATGTTTATTAATAAAAACATATTGCTATACATGAATACTTAAATACATCCACATGTATTCTTTGTTTTATTTTAAGAAGGGGCTCAAGGTCGAGCTTGCTATGTAGCTAGGGAAGACCTTAAACTCATGCCTCCACATTGAGCATCCATAAGTTGAGTGAGCATGTGAGAGTGTAGATTTACTTTAGTAGTATATTTACTAAAATTGGGATGATAAAGAGAATTTTAGCATGGCATGCAAATTCATGAAGCATTCTGTATTTTTTTCAAAAGTTCTGTAATGTTATATAATGCCTTATATGTTATTTAAAAATAAAGGACACTATTAGATTTTTAATTAATTAATTTTTATGTTTTTATGTTTTGCTTGCATGTGCCTCATGGGCATGCCTGGTGCTAGTGGGCTGGAAGAGGGCATTGGAGTCCCTGGGACTAGAGTTACAGACTGCTGTGAGCTGCTGTGTAGGTGCTGGGAATCAAACCCAGGCTCTGGAAGAGCAGCCAATAATAAATACCCTTAACTGTTTCACTGTCTCTTCAGCTCCGCTTTATTTATTTATTTTTATTTTTATTTTTTTTTTTTTTTTTTTTTTTTTTTTTTTTTTTAAAGATAGGGTTTCTCTGTGTATTTTTGACAGTCCTGAAACTCTAAATCAGACTGGCCTCGAACTCACATTTGTCTGCCTCTGCCTCTGCCTCCCAAGTGCTGGGGTTAAAGGCATGCAATACCACTGCCTGGTTCAGCTCATTTATTAACCTTTTTTTAAATATGGAAAAATATATGTTTTGTGGGTTTTTTTGTTTTTGTTTTTTGTGTTTTGTTTTTTTGAGACAGGGTTTCTCTGTATTGCTTTGGAACCTGTCCTGGAACTAGCTCTTATAGACCAGACTGGCCTTGAACTCACAGAGATCCTCCTGCCTCTGCCTCTGCCTCCCAAATGCTGGGGTTCATGGTGTGCACCACCAATGCCAGGCTATTGCTTTGTTTTTTATTGAAATTAGCAGAGTGATGGCCACTCAGGTTTTTTATTTTATTTTTTTATCAAAATTTCAAATCAAATTATTTTGAGTTTTGTTAGTAGCAGTTGCTATTCTGATTTGCTCTTAAGTCTTATAATTACCTAGATTAGCTTTATGCTCTTTTCCTCTGCAAATTGAATTTCTGTAACGTTGTTTGTCTTTCCCAATAGTTATTAGCAGTTCCTGTGGAAAAATCTGTTAAGCTGTACAGAAGAGAAACTTGGAGTAATCCATTTGATCTTTCGGATAGTTCTATCTCTCAGGTGGGCTTTGTAACTGACAGTTGGAGTACTAACTACAGAGAGTATTTAATGCATACTTCACTAAAATCAGTTGTCACATAGGAAGCATGTGGACCAGAGAGATGATTCAGTGATTCAGAGTGCTGGCTGCTCTTGCAGAGAATCCAGGTTTGACTCACAGCGTCCACATTGTGGCTCACAACCACCTGTAACTGCAGTTTCAGGCATCTGATGCCCTCTTCTGGCCTCCACAGGTATACATTTGGGCAAAGTACCCATACACATGAAAATAAGTAAATGGATATATAAATAAAAGAAATACATTTATAGGAGGTAAAATTACCCTTAGCTTGATGTTAGAGTAAATCATTCTTCATTTTTTATTGTGAGTTTCAATAAGACTTGTAATTCTAGCCTCCAGAACTTTAGTAGAAGAAAGATTGTTGGTTTTTTTTTTTTTTTTTTTTAAAGGCAGGGCCTGTCTTAAGGTTTTTATTGCTGTGAAGAGACACCATGGCCCCATTTAATTGGGTGGCTAACATTTTCAGTCCGTTATCATCATGGTGCAGTATGGTGGCAGGCAAGCAGACATAGTGCTAGAGAAGTAGCCCAGAGTCCTACATCTTACCTTGCAGGAAGTGGTCTGTAGCACTGGGAATGGCTTGAGCATATATGAGACCTCAAAGCTCACCTCCATAGTGACACTTCCTCCAACAAGACCACACCTAATAGTGCCACTCCCTTTGAGGACCATTTTTTTTTAAATCATCACAGTGTCTCACCTCATAGCTGTCTGGTCTGAAGTTCTCTATGTAGGCTGGGATTGAATTTATAGAAATCCACCCACTTTGGCTTCACTGGCATTAAAAATGTGTGCCACTGTACCTGGCTAAATTTATTCTTTTTTAAGTGTAGGTGTTTTTTTTGTTTTGTTTTTTGCCTGTGTGTAAGTGGGCTGTGTATGTGCCTGGTGTCTGAGGAGGCTGGAAGAGGGCTCTGGATCCCTGGAACTAGAGTTCTAGATGGTTGTGAGCTGCTTTGTGGGTGCTAAGAAGTGATCCCTGGTCTTCTGCAAAGGCAGCCAGTGCTCTTAACCACTGAGCCACCTCTCCAGCATCTTGTCATTTTTCTTATTCTGCCTCTTTGTTTCATTTCTTCATTTCTCTCCAATTTTAGGTCTATATTCAGTTCACTCTTTATACTTACATATGTTTGGCATTTAAAGGCTGAATATTACTTAGAAAGGTTAAAATAAATATGCTTTATTGCCGTTTAAAATGTAATTAGAATAATATAGACTAGAGTTTTAAAACTTTGGGGGTAATAAAAGTGAGTAGTTTCAAAATATACAACATTATTATTAACTGTTTCTTTGTAGACACTCAGTATAGTTACCTGGTCTCCCTGTGGACAGTATTTGGCTGCAGGTACTATTAATGGCTTAATTGTAGTTTGGAATGTGGAAACCAAAGACTGCATGGAAAGGTACAATTTATTGTTTTTGTTTTATTAGGAAACATTTGCACATTTTGATTGTTAATCAGTGAAAATAGCTCTTATGAAAACCATTTAGTTTTTTAAATGTTTATTTACTTATTGTTTGTGTGTATGTGCACACTGGAGAGAGCATGCATGCCACAGTGTACTGTAGACATCAGAAGACATTGCATGAGTCAGCTCTCAAATTGTGACGGTTCTGGAGCTCAAACTCAAGCTTGGTAGCAAGCCTGAACCATCTAGTACCATGTAACTTTTTCATGTTGAAATTTGCCTATGTAGTTTTTATTTGTTTTTGGATAGTGCTGAAGATTGAATGCATGCTAGACAAGTACTCTACCACTGAGTCACATACTCTAGTCCAGCTGACTGTATCTTTAAAAGAGCCCACTCTTTCCTTTTTAGAGTAAAACATGAGAAAGGCTATGCCATTTGTGGCCTGGCCTGGCATCCTACTTGTGGTCGAATATGTTACACTGATGTGGAAGGAAACCTTGGGATCCTGGAAAACGTGTGTGACCTCAGAGGAAAGGTGTCAACCCATAAGGTAATGAGCAGTATGCTAGAAGAGGTTTCACAGTGTTTCTGCAGTTGTATGGCTTTAGAGAATATACAGTAAACTGCCTTATTTTCTTGTGAAATTACATTTTATGTTTCTATCTTAGATGTGCAGTAGTCATTTTTAATAGAGCTATTTGAGTTTATTCAACCTAGCATTTCTCAAATATATTTCATAAGGAAGCTTTGTTTCCTCCATTGAACCCTTTTCTACATGATTTTTTTTTTTGTAAAATACTGTTTTTTGCATTTTGCATGTGGATTGTTAGATAAATGTTTTAGAGCTAAGCCTTATCTTAATATTTGATAGTTGAAAGAGGTCTCAGTTGGCTTATATATAACCCTTTCCTGATCTGAATTAGGCTCCACTCTTAAAGCTGCCTGGCTACCTCCTCCGCTTGGTTATCTAACCTTACAGGTTGCTTTGAGTTGACAACCTTGTTTTTTTGTGAGTCTTAGTGTAGACTTCCATTTGAAGGTTGCAGGATAAATGTTCCTCCTGAAAACCCTATTAAAACTACACTAAATAACTTCTTAAAGTGAACAGTCACATAGGGCGAAGAAGACAATTGAAATAATGCTAGAAATAAAATTTTGCAGAGTAAAAATACGAAAAGATCATTTTAAATTAGGTTTTTGGAAAATTGGATCTTAATGCTGCTGTGATGGAGACTTGAGGTACAACCCAGCTTGCATGACTAGATCCCTAAAAACTCAGAAAGTAGAAGCATCTCTGTTTATTTGGGATTAAAGGGTGGCGGGACCTCTGTTTGCAGTTATCTCCTTGTATTGTTCTTATCAGGTATCTTTCTCACAGGAAAGAACTAAGGAGAAGAAAATCCTAACTCTAGGAACAGTTGTACATGAAAGGGAAAGTGATGCAATAAAATGCACCATTAAAATAAAGATAGAGATAGTGCCCATGGCTTAAGGTTATTGTAAGGACTATGTGAAGTATGTGGTAAGTGTAGCACAGCACTTTTAATGTGTTGGCTATCATGATTTTTAGTCAGCCATAAATAGTTTACATAATGTTAGTAGCCTAAACATTATGCATTGATTAAATCAAAGTGAGGATTTGCGTTGAGAGGATTGGGGTCGGTGAACAGTGTGAATGTGTGCATGGAGTAGAGGTGGCTGTCAATAGTCACCAAATCCTCATCTTCATAAAGGAAGCTAGTAGGATACGTTAAACGCATGGGTAAAAGTGGAAGGACTCTGATTCTCTGACAGTATCCATGGTTCCTTCCTCTACAGGGTGGGGGCAATCAAGGGTGAACTTCAAAACCTGCTGCCCCTTTTCCTGCCCCTCTAACCCTTCTTTGCCACAAGCTTTTATAGAGGTTTCTTTAGTGCTCCTTCATGGTCACTGCGTGTTATTGATGAAATTGTTGTGGGTTCTTAGTTTTATTAATAAAGTAATTTAAAATGGGCTTAGAAGGAAGTTTGAGGACTGTTTTATTAGAGTTAGAAAGGAGAATTATAGTAGGCAAGTGGAAATTCCCAGCAGTTGCTGAGAACCTTGAGGGCGATGGAGAAGAGAATCATGCCTTTAAATCAGGCATGGAGTTCAGCAAGCAGCTGTGGAAAGCTGTGAGGGCGGGTGGGTGGGGGTCTTGAGCAGCCGAGAGAGCCAGGGTGTAATGGAAAGTGTGCCCAGTCCTTTAGCACTATCTGGAAAGGACGTGAAGGTTACTTTTTTTTTTTCAATCTAAAGAGCAGGCAGAATTAGCAGTGCTGCCTGGTGATAGCACTTGGCTGCCTGTGTGTGGTATTTGCTTAATGTCTATCTGTAAACCTGGCCTGTCCCCAGAGTACAAGGCATTTAAAATAAATGTATTTGATAGTCACTTTAAATCATAAGTATGTTCTTGGCAGTTTATACTTGTCTGGGAGCCAGGTGTGTTGGTGGCTTCTGTAGTCCCAGCACTTGCCAGGTAGAGGCAGTGGGGTCAGAGGGTTCAGGTCAGCCTCAGTGGCATAGTGAGTCTGAGGCCAACATGGGATATGTGACACAGTGTTTCCAAAAACAAAAACCATAAAAAGTTGCCTGTGGGAATCAAGGCTGTACGTTTATGTGCAAGGAACTGGGTTTATCTCCAGCACTACTTTAAAAGAAAATACAGCCGCTTTTTGCCCGGTTGTGTTTTCTAAATCGTTTACTGATACTTCTCATTTAATATTTCAAGGTGTCTAGCAGAGTGGAGAAGGATTACAATGATCTTTTTGATGGAGATGATACAAGTAGCGGTGGCGATTTTCTAAATGACAATGCAGTTGAGATCCCTCCTTTTTCAAAAGGAGTCATGAATGATGATGACGACGACGATGATGACCTCATGTTGACTGCAGATCGTCTCAGACGGAGAAGTCATGTCTTGGGAGATGATGAAAATTCAGTTGGTATGAATTTGACTTTGTGTGTGATAATCCCCTTGCTGATTAGTTTTCCAAATGTTATTAAAATTATCAGATGGCTTGATTAGTGTTTAGAGCTACATTCTAAATCCTATGTTTAAAAATGTCAAATTAACCATCTACACCTTTCCAACCATAAAATAATTTATACTCCAAACACAAAGGAAATAATAGAGATTAACCCAGTGAAATTGACTTAGAAAAGTTATAGAGGGCTGGCTCAGAGGATAGAGGCACTTATACCCAGCCTCATCCATCACCTGAGTTTGATTCCCGGGTCTCACAAGGTAGTAAGAGAGAACTCACTTCTTAGTGTCATCCTCTGACCCCCATATATGTGCCTTGGCATGAACGCATTTGCACTCAAAAACTCACAAAACTAAAGAAACAAAAACTGGGCTAGTAAGATGGCTCATCCATCAGGTAAATAGTGCCTGCCTGTTAAGGCTGACAGCCTGGATTCAGTCTCTGGGACCCACAAATACTTGGGGAATACTTTTACCGCTGAGCCACCTCTACAACCCCAGAACTTTGAAGAAAATGAGATTTGTATGTGTGCATGTAGAGCATACATGGAGTGGATCTCCTGCACCTATGTGTGAAGGTTTGCATAGTAACTGCTTGGCCATGTCACTGGTCCACCCAGACTTTTCTAAAAAAGAAACAGAAATTGATTTCTAGAAATCGACTTCATAAAATGAGTGTTTTTACTGTAGGTGGGTGGTAGCTAACAGTGCAGTGACTATTCACAAAGTTTAGTGTCATTGTCTAGATTGACTTAAGGCACAATGTGCTCTTTCCCAGGACTTTCTTATCAACATACCATTTCTTTAACATGCTGGAAGAGGCAAGTCGTGTGTCAGCTGTTGTTAAGAAATGTAGGGCTGGGCGTAGGTGGCACACACCTTTAATCCCAATACTCGGGAGGCAGAGGCAGGTGGATATCTGTGAGTGTGAAGCCAGCCTGGTCTACAGAGTGAGTTCCAGGACAGCCAGGACTATACAAAGAAACCCTGTCTCAAAAAAAAAAAAAAGAAGAAAGAAAAAAGTAGGAACATCACTCTTCTTTGGTGCTTTTCTTTTTCAGGTTGTTAATTTTATGATTGTCTTATACTCTTATACTTCTTTGTACTGTAGATGCTCCAATGCTAAAAACTGATCTTCACAAAGAGGAAGGAGAAGATGACCAGGCAGGCAGTATTCACAATCTCCCCCTTACAAAATCCCAAAGGCTATTCTATGATGGGCCCATGCCAACACCCCGACAAAAGCCGTTCCAGTCAGGCTCCACACCCTTGCATCTCTCTCACAGATTTATGGTAAGCCCTCCTCTACACCCAACTTTTAAGTAATTGTTTAGCATTGTTTCCTTCCTACAGTTTATTTGATAGATTAAAAAAGAATTTTAAAAACCTTGCTTTAGTGGGCTAGAGCATTTTGATTAATAAAATTTTATGGTAGGTTTATTTCATGGTTGACTAGAAATTTTAATCTTTTTTCAACATTGCTGTTCAACATTTTGTTAATCCTGTTTTGCAAAATAAAATAACAAAAGTATGACTATTTATCTTGTGATACTTGTTGAAAAATTTCCAAACCTTCTTTCTCAGAATGTCACTGTGTAGATAAGGTTTAGTTCAAATTAGTCCCATCTTTGCCTTCTGAGTACTAGGATTATGCCTGGCTATATTTTTTTTGTATAAAATATTATTTGTATTATGAAACATTTGTTGGAAGATGTTTTTATAAAATAACTTTTTTTATTTTTGTATTTTTGAGGCAGTCCTGGCTGTCCTGGAACTCACTCTGTAGACCAGGCTGGCCTCAGACTCACAGAGCTCCACCTGCCTCTGCCTCCCAAGTGCTGGGATTAAAGGTGCATACCACCACCACCCGGGGAACTTGTTCTTTTTGAAAACTAGTATTTTAGAAGATCAGTAGTTACGAGCACTGGCTAGATTCAATTCCCCACACCCATGTGGCAGCTCACAACTGTCTATAATTCCAGTCCCAGTGGATCAAATATCCTCTTCTGGCCTCTACAGAGGTACGTAGATATTAAATGCAGATAAAACACCCACATACATAAGACTTTAAATTTTTAAAAAGTAGAAGAGAAAAACTTCATATCTTAGTATTTTTAAAAAGGTACAACATAGAGGGCATTAAGTATATTTCTTGAATTGATGAATGAAAATATAGTTTTTGCTTTAAGTTTGAGGGCTTGCAAGAGTTCAGGATATTATTTATTATTTATGTGATGTTTCCTTTCTGCAAATGTTTTTATTGAAGGCATAGTCTTGTTGGCTGTGTTTTTTGCTGTATAGAAGCTTCCCATTTTCAGGAGGGCCCATTTATTAATTGTTGCTCTCAGTGCCTGTGCTACTGGTGTTCTATTTACGAAGTGTTCTCCTGTGCCTATGCGTTCAAGTATATTTCCCAATTTCTCTTCTATGAGGTTCAGTGTGGATCGATTTATGCTGAGGTCTTTGATCCACTTGGACTTCAGTTTTGTGCATGACGATAGGTATGGATCTATTTGCATTCTTCTTCATGTTGACAGCCAGTTATACCAGCACCATTTGCTGAATATGCTTTCTTTTTTCCATTTTATATTTTTAGCTTCTTTGTCAAAAATTAGGTGTTCATAGGTATGTGGGTTGATATCAGGGTCTTTGAATTCCATTGGCCCACCTGTCTGTTTTTATGCCAATTACTTACATAATTCTTAAAATGTTAAACACTCCATTTACTAATTGATTATGTGACGTTTATAAAGGAAAGAATAATTAGTTATTGTTGGTCTGATATTGCCACTGCTTTCTGAAACTATGCTCAATTAGATAAAATGTGGCTACTCTAAGTACAGATTGAGTTGTAGTGTTGTCAGTGCTCTTATAGTATAATATTGGGAGTTCCTGTTTTTCTTACTTGATCTTACATACTTGTAGGTGTGGAACTCTATTGGGATTATTCGATGCTATAATGATGATCAAGACAGTGCCATAGATGTGGAGTTCCATGACACCTCCATTCATCATGCAACGCACCTATCAAACACTTTCAATTACACAATGGGAACTCTTTCCCATGAAGCTATTTTGTTGGCGTGTGAAAGCACTGATGAATTAGCAAGGTACTTAGCAGGAATCTGACATTACTGAACTGTTGATCAAATTGTATCTTTTGTACTATGGAATACCAGATAATAGAATTGGGTGTAAATGCCAGTACAGCTCAGAATATGTTTTGCTCTAGTTGTCTCCTCATTGTATCTTCTGCATATGAAAATGGTAGGATTTAATTTATAATACAATAGAGATGAGATTATATTATGTTGTTACTGTTATTACTATTTTTATTGTAACAGTCATAGAACATACAGAAAATGAAAGATCCCTTCATTCCCTTGAAAATTTCCTTTAGGGTTCCCCCAGAATTAAAAATTTGATATGTATTCTTGACATTTTCATATGAACCCTCTTTTTAAAATTTAGTTTATTGTAGTATAATTTTTATATAAGTAACCATACTTCATATTGATGAGTTGTCAGTTTTGTATATACTATAAGTACTACTATAGAGTATAGCATATTTTTTATTATCTGAAAAATTTTCATATTTCCTATCATCAATTCAGTCCTAGTCTTGGAAACTCCTGGCCTCGGTACTTTTGCTTTACCATAGATTAGATTTGAAGTCTTTATTTGAAAAATAAATTTTTACATCCAAATATAACATTTATCAAGTTTTTTTTTTTTGCTTAGTGGGTTGTGGACTAGTTTACATGGTTTTATAGCTAGACAGATATCCTTTTTTGTTTTCCTTAGACATATATCACAGCTTTGTGTATTTCCTTTTTATTTTAAAATTAGTATTCAGAATGAGTATTTCTTTTGATACCAAATTCAGATGCTACCTGCATTCCAAATGCATAAAGACTGGAAATGCATCAACTTTTAGCAGTGTTAATAGTTTTGCTGATGATATCTGATTGCTTTTTCTTTTTAGTGGGAGGGGGTTGTTTTTCAAGACAGGGTTTCTTTGCATAAGAGCCCTGGCTGTCCTGGAACTAGTTCTGTAGATCACTCTGGCTTTGAACTCACAAAGATCCACCTGCTCTCCCTCCTGAGTGCTGGGATTAAAGACATGCAGCTATATGTGGTATTTTTATATATAACTAATCATGATGCTAAAGTTTATTTTTCTACTTTATTACTACAATTTATTTTAAAGAACTAATCACGAAATCCTGTTTGGGGAGAAGAAGAAAATCACATATAAGAATTCAGTTGTTTCTGTCTTGTTTTATTTCTTTAGCAAGCTTCATTGCCTGCACTTCAGTTCTTGGGATTCAAGCAAAGAGTGGATAGTGGATATGCCTCAGAATGAAGATATTGAAGCCATATGTCTAGGTCAAGGATGGGCTGCTGCTGCTACAACTGCCTTGCTCCTCCGATTGTTTACTATTGGAGGTGTTCAGAAAGAAGTCTTCTCCCTTCCTGGACCCGTGGTGTCAATGGCGGGACATGGAGAACAGCTTTGCATTGTTTACCATAGAGGTAGGTTTTTCCCTGTCTTACATGATACTATAACTTGAGTAAAACGGGAATTACTTAAGCTTTTTTGTTATTATGATGTCCTTTTGTTTCAGATTGTATACCTCTTTTTATATTGACTTAGTATTTTCATCACTATAGTCTTGGAATTTAGAAAATGCTGCTGTATCACTAAGCAAGGGAAGTGAGGGTGCTCCATTTGTAGACCATTATTACAAAGGGAATTAATTCCAAGGTAAAATCTGGTTTTCACGGGTATGTATAAAGTTTATCTTTTGGCAGGTATGCTGTTCAGTATAAATACCTCAAAAGTAACCTGCAACTGCTAGTGTGAAGGGCCAAAACAACTGTGAGTGTGGCTTCCAGAAGCTGGGACCTCCTTTTCCTCAATTTTTATCCTTATTCCCTTCCTTGCCCCTGTATTAACAGAGACCTTAGTGAGGTTAGTGATTAAGGTCTTATGTTTTGTTTTAAACACTCCGGTGAAAACACTCTTCTCTGGCTTCTGTGACATCCTTTTCTAACTTCTGTCCTCACTGACCACTCTTTCTCCTTTTGGCTCTTCCTGTTGTGCTGACTTTTTGCTGGTGTTAACTTCGTCTACCCCGTCCAACTCCAAGGTCATAACCTTGGAGTTGTTGACAGCATAACAACATTAAAAATAGATTATCTCTAGGCGGTGGTGGAGCACACCTTTGATCCCAGCACTTGTGAGGCAGAGGCAGATGGCTCTCTGAATTCAAGGCCAGTTTGGTCTACTGAGTGAGTTCTAGGACAGCCAGGGCTACAGAGACCCTGTCTTGAAAAATAAACAGATTCTCCATTGCCATTTTGTACATATCTGCAAGTATAGCAGAAATGAAGGTCTCGTGAACAATATTTAATATTTACCCTTTGATTTCACCTTTTAAAAATGTTATTTGCAACTCAAAATGATACCATGATTCATGTCAAAAATATAGTTTGAAAGCCAGATGTGATGGTGCATACCTTTAATTCCAGCACCTGGGACGTTGAGGCAGATAGACTTCTTACTTTCAAGGCCACCCTAGTCTGTATAAGAGTTCCAGGTCATTATGAGCAATGAGCAATGTATATATCAGGCTCTGTCTCCAAACAAACAAAAAAGCCACCTTAAACATTTTGAGAAACTACTGTAGGGGATTTTATTTAAAAATGTGGTTTTGAATATGTGTGTCTCTGTCTTCTCATACCTTGTCTCTGGGCTCCCATATTCTGTTGTTCATTTGAAATCTTTGTGTTGGGTTTTAACTGACCTTATGAACTCATTTTGGCCATATGAGTGAAACCTTAACATTTTTTTTTTCTTCCAAACTTTTTGCTTGAACAGTTTGGTCACCTCAGTAATTAGCATATTGACAAGTGCTCAAGGCACATAACTCCTTCAATATAGTTAGAGCATGTTTTGTTCTGTGGAGTAGCCCATTCCAAGTCCGCCTCATTTTCTTTCATGTACTAACACCCCAGCTATATGTCATATTGCATCATTTGTCATAGTTGTTCCCACTAATCTTTAAGCTCTTAATGCTTGTGTGTTATAGACTGCTGCATAGCTGCTTGGATGATCTTTTAAAAGCATAGATCACCTCCCTTTTCTGATTAAATTTCTCTAACTTCCTTTCATTTTTATAATAGCAACCAAACTACTTGCCACAATAAGGTGTTTTGCTGGTCCTGTATGATCTGAACTTCATCTGTTTCTTCAACTTCATGCCTTCCCATCGTCTTTCTGGCCATGTTGTGGTCATGCTGTCTCATGAATGTTTGTCTTGGGACCTCTCCACTACCTGTTCCTTGTGTCACTGCATCCATTTTTTAAATATGAGTTCGCATGAGGTTATATAACTGAATGGCATTCACAAAAAATTTAGCGGTGGTCAAAGGCTTTTAGATGCAATCATAAATCAATTCAAAGTGAAGTGTGCAATGGGTTTTTGGTGTTGGATACGGCTCGTTGTGTTTGTTGGTATGACTTCACACTTGGAACTGTGTGTACCTTCCCACCAGTGAGCACCAGAGAACACCACCTGAAGCCCCTTGACTAAGATGCATATGTTAGGAGTAGTGTGTTTACTGACGTGGGAAGTTTTCTGTTCTTTTAGATACATAATGGTTTAATTATTGGAAAAAAGATAATATTTTCCTATCACCATTCTTCAAATAAGTATTTTTGGATTGGGCTGCATCAGGATGCTTGGCTGTAAAACTTGCGACTTTAGTCTCATAAAAAATGGTGAATGAAGCTGGGCAGTGTTGGTACACACCTTTAATCCCAGCTCTCAGAAGGCAGAGGCAGGTGGATCTCTGTGAGTTGAGGCCAGCCTGGTCTGGTGAATGAATTTTGGGTTGGCATTAGGATAGAGTATCTAACCATTTCTGAGTGTCCCTGTTTTAGATTCTTTTCCTGTTGCTGTGATAAAGTACTGAATAACTTCTGGTGCCTGGTACATATGTGCATTTTTCTAGGTACAGGGTTTGATGGAGATCAGTGCCTTGGAGTTCAACTGCTAGAGTTGGGACAGAAGAAAAACCAGGTTTTGCATGGTGACCCTCTTCCTCTTACAAGGAAATCCTACCTTACATGGCTGGGGTTTTCTGCTGAAGGCAAGATAATTTTCTTTCATTATAATGAAATTATTTCAAGAAGAAAATAATTCTATTATTTTAGTCTTAATTTATTTAAAAATAGTGTTTATGTTCAAATTTTTTCATTTTACATGGCATGGAAACTGCGGTTGTTATGCAGAATAGTAACTGTTATCCTTGTAAGAATCCCTTGCAAATGGAGTTATATTTGTATTATTGTTTTTATTTTAATGATGTGTGGTTGGGTGGTGAGAGACCTTACAAAGGAAGTTATATTTGTATTATTATTTTTATTTTAATGATGTGTATTTGGGTATTCATGGAATCCAGAGAGGAAATTGGATTCCCTGGATCTATAGATCTGTGAGCCACCTCTGTAATTTCTGGGAACCAAACTATAGTCCTCTGTAAGAGAAGCAAGTACTCTTAACCACTCAGCCATTTCTCTAGCCCCGGGAAATGTTATTTTTTTTTTTAGTATTTATTTATTACATAGCAAATAGAAGATACAGATCATTGGTAAATTATGTCTTTTCTAGTAAATTCTATACATAAGTTAGGGAGTTTCTAAAATTGTACTTAATCTATGTATGGCTCTTGAACACTTGAAATGTGGCCAGTCTGAATTGAGATATGCTATAAATATAGAATACTGAATTTTAAAGATTTATAAGTAAAAAAAAGGAATATAAAAAAATCTCAGAAATTTATTTACATTTACTACATACATGTTAAGTCATAATATTTTGGCCATATTGGATTAAAATACTAGAATTTCTTGTTTAAAAGTACTATAGTAAACCCCAGAGAACCTAGGTAACAAAAGAGGACATACATGGATCTGCCTAGGAAGGGGAAAAAGACAAGATCCCCTTAGTAAATTGGGAGCATAGGGGATGGGGAAGGGAAGTGGGGGAAAAAATGTATAGCTCAAAAAAAAAAAAAAAAAAAAATTGGCAAAAGAAATAAAGAAAATCCAAAGGCCCAATTTGATTGTGTAGACTAGAAGTAATGTACTAAAAACAAACCAAAAAAAAAAAAAAAAAAAAAAAACACTATCAGCCATTTCTGTTGGAATGTTGGTGGCTATTTATGCCTGAATAATACTGCCATGAGTAGCCTCAATTTCTATAGTCTAGCACCTGTGGGATATGGTGGCAGATAACAAAAGGGGTCATTCATACCTTCTGAGGAGGAACCATAGGTGGGCAACAATGATGTTCACTCTTTTCCTAAAAATTGCTTACCTGGGAGCTTTTTAGAGAACAGTAACAAGACCATTGAAGAACAGAGGCATAAAAACAGTACTAAAGCATTACCTTAGAGGAAGTGCTGGTCATTGTATCATGTTTCTTAACCAGGAGACTTAAGATAGATGTTTATTTAAACTTCTTAAAAAGTTAAATTGACTTTAAAATCATTACTGTTATATTCCACCAGAGGGCATAGTTTTCACTGAAACTGTTTTGGTTTTGTTTTTCAAAATAAATTTTAGTCAGATTCAGATTTTTTTTCCCTTCAGTTGGGCCTGTATGGTAATTAAATTTTACAGAAAGCAACCCTGAATTACCTCCCCCACCTTTTGGTTTTGAAATGAAAGTTCAATCCTTGGTATGTGTTTTTGAAGGTTTATTAAACAGTACATAGCTGTATTTTCCAGTGATTTCTTTGTTGTTGGTTATTTAGGTACTCCCTGTTATGTGGATTCCGAAGGCTGTGTTCGAATGCTTAACAGAGGGCTTGGAAACACATGGACTCCTGTATGTAACATAAGAGAACACTGCAAGGGAAAATCTGATCACTACTGGGTGGTTGGTATCCATGAAAACCCCCAGCAGCTAAGGTGAGCCATCACAAGTGGAGTGATTTGGGGGAGAGTTTGAGATAAGATCTTGCTGTACCACCGAGTCTGGCTCCTAACTCAGGCAATCCTCCCACTCTCTCTCCTGAGGGCTGGGATTTACATTTGTACTATTGTGCCTGGCTCCAGCTTCCCCTTTGGTTGAGACTCTGTAAGTGTATTTCTTTGCTTTTCATCTTCTGCCAACTGATGAAGGGAAAATTAAAATGTGTTCTATCTGTATTATTGGTCTGTAGAAAGTTGTTGTATTATTGGACTGTAGAAAGTTGTAAATTACTGATACATATAATGTAAATGAACCTTGAAAACATTATGCTAAGTAAAAGAAATCAGATCCTCAAGGACTATGTATTGTTTGATTCCACTTATAATAATATCCAGAATATTATTCTGGGTAGGATAAGGTAATAGGAATTCCTGTATTTTATTCCTGACATCTCTAGGCAGATTATGAGGTAAGGGCAGGAGTGTTTGGGGAGAGAGTAGTCTGCTGTAGGGATTTGAGAAGAGACATCACAGTCTTTTTAGACCGTGCAAATGAATTTAGTAGAACACCGTAATGGTTTTAATGCTTATTTCCATGTTTGCCTAGGATTTGCAGAATCCCATTGTTGATAATACTTAGTATTATAAACTCTTGGTTGGCTGGGGATATGACTTAGTGATAATGCTTGCCTAACATGCAGGAGGCCCTGAGTTCCACCCTCAGTACAGGGAAAAACACTATTTTTTTTTATTTTTGGTTTTTTGAAACAGGGTTTCTCTGTGGCTTTGGAGCCTGTCCTGGAACTAGCTCTTATAAAACAGGCTGGTCTCGAACTCATAGTGATCCTACTGCCTCTGCCTCCTGAGTACTAGGATTAAAGGTGTGCATCAACAGTGCCCGGCTTTGTTTTTAATTTTTGAAGAAAAATCTGGGCATGGTGGCACAGCACTCAGTGGGCAGAAGTTGCTGGATCTCCAAGTTTGAGGTCAATTTGGTCTTCAAAGCAGGTTATAGTTCAGCCAGGGTTACATAATGAGACCCTGTGTTTTGTTTTGTTTTGTTTTTGAGACTACTGTTAACTTTTTAGTTGGTGTTAGGATGTATGGCTATCCTCAGAAATTTCTTGTATTTCCATCTCTAGAAATAAAGCTATTTAGCAGTTTGAGTTAAGAACTCATATCACATCTTAATAGGAGGTTATGGTTTGGATCCATTGATGTTTCATCTTATTATCTGAGACAGAGTTGGCCTAGAACCCAGAGAGCTACCTGCTTTGCCTCTGATTAAAGATGTGCTATTCATAACTGTAACTACAAATCCATACTCAGCCATACTCATAATTAAGAATAAGCATTTTTAATTTAAAAATTATTTTGGTTTTCTTGAAATTGATTCTCATGTAGCCCAAATGGCTCAACTCACCAAGTAATCACAAATAGCCTTGAACTCCTGACTTCCACTGCCCTGGATGCTAGAATTGCAGGTCTGTGCTACCACGTTTAGGATAGCCTTATACAGTACACATTTGAAATACTGACATGCTAAGAAGCCACGTGGATTCGATTCCCACCACTCATATGGTGGCTCATGACCATCCATAGCTCCGGTTTCAGGGGACCCCTCTTCTGAATTCCATGAGCACTGGGTGTGAATGTGGTGCACATAACACTCATACACATGAATAAATAAATCTTAAAACAAACAAACAATTAAGCTGGGTGGTGATGGCAGTTAAAAGTCTTGTGAAAAATGTATTTCTACCAGGTGCCATGGTTTGGAGGAGAACTGGGACTTCAGGGCCAGTCTAGGCTATATATTGTGACTGTAGCTCAAAAACAGAAAGAAAAGAGAATGAAATTGTATTTAGTTTTGTGCATTGGGTTTATTCTAATAAATAACAAAGATACTTTTTCAGAGTTGGAAACTGCTATGCAGTCATTATTGCTGCTGCTGCTGCTTCCTTCTCCCTCTCCCTCTTCCTCTTCCTCCTCCTCTTCCTTATTTTTCTGAGAGCTTCTTAAGGATTTGAGCCTGTCTGGCTTCAGACTCATGATCTTTATGCTTCAGGCTCCCAAGTGATGAGAGGATAGCTGTGTACCCCCATGCCTGCCTGTCTGTCCATTTATACTCACTAGGGATGAGTGTTTTCCTTTGTGTGAGAGATAACTGAAGAGCAGGAAGAAACCCTACAACTGTCTTCAGAAGTCTACTGCTGTGTTTAATGAAACTTACCTGCCCTTGCCATGGGGGAAGTTCATTAAAACTTCCCAAGGCTTCAGTTTGCTCTTGATGTTTGTGGTAAAGGTAGTCTGGGCTTTGTCACTCTGGAAAGGCAGTGTGGTGTTGAGGTCCACAGCTCAGTTTCTGAGTCATGCTATCTGCTTTGTAGCCAGGTCATACTGTTTAGACTTTGTGCCTTTTCCTCAACGCTTGCACAGAAAGTTCCCATCTCAGAATTGCTGGAAAGATGAAATGATTTTGTAAGTAGAGTGTACATAGAACAGTCCCTGTCACCAAGTGAGTGTCTCCATTGAATGTTAGCTGATAAAAATCAGTAATGTTTGTTTGTGCGGGTTTTTTGTTGTTGTTTTTTGGGACAGTGTAGTTCCCATCGTATAGTTCTAGCTGTCCTGGAACTCACTTTGTAGATGCCTTGAACTCACAGAGATTCACTTGCCTCTGCCTCCAAGTGCTAGGATTAAAGACATGTGCTGTTGTGCCTGGATTCTTTCCATTCTATGTTACAGATATTTTGCTTTGTGGTTCATGGTTAATAAAACTTGTTTCTCTATTATGGGGTCAATGAGGTAGTGCTTGGGTCTGAATTCAGGGCCTTACAAATGCTAGGCAGGTTTTCTGCTTCTAAGACTATATCTCCTTTCACTTAAATGCATTTCTTAACCCAACTTGGGAAGTACAGTTTGTTAAAAATAATTAAGGGCTAGAAATACCATTTAGTGAGAGGGTATTTGCCATTCCCGAGGCCCTAGTTTCAACTCCCAGAGCCGTGAAATTAATTAATTGAGTTCAAAACTTAATTATGAATTTAAAAATAGTTGCTGTAAGAGAGATAGCATCCATACTTATTTGTGGGGTGAGGGGTCGAGCAGGTTCTCTCTGTATAGCCCTGACTGGTCTGCAACAGAGGCCTGCCTGCCCCTGCCTCTTGAGTGCTGGGATTGAAGGTGTGCACCACTAACCTAGCTCACTTGTACATATTTAGAACTGAACCTTGTTTTAGCAAAACTGTTATCATTGTTTCCTCTAAAGACTTTTTTCATGACTACTAGTGATTATATATTAATCGGTGCTGTAGTCTAATTTGCTATGGGCAAACATTAGCCTTCATGTCTTTGCTTTCTAGTTTTATTTATTTGTTTGTTTGGTTTTGGTTTTCAATACAGGGTTTCTCTGTGTAGCTTTGTAGACCAAGCTGTCCTCAGACTCACAGATCCACCTTCTGCCTTCTGAGTGCTGGGATCAAAGGTGTGTGCCACCACCTGGCCTGCTTTTTAGTTTTTAAAAACCAATTCTTAATGAACCTAAAAGTAAATTTGTTTTTCCTTTTTATTGTGTGTATGTGAATGCTGTGTGGCCCACATAGAGGTAAGAGGACAGTTTGTGGGAGTGGTTTATCTTCTTCCCCCATGGTTTCTAAGGATATGGAACTCAGGCCATAAATCTTGTCAACAAACACCTTTGCCCACCAAGCCAACTGGCCCAGATTAGTTTGTTCATTTAACAAGCATTTGTTGTAGTACTGGCCCATGTACTATACTACACACATAGGGTGCTGTCCAGAAGAAGTAGGCGTGTACAGTCACGTTACTGAATGTGTGCTTTAAAGGAGGTAGGAACAAAGGCCTCTGAAGCACAGAAGAGAGTCTGGCCAATTCAGAAAATAAAGTGAAGCTTGTCTATTGCAAAAGGGTAATTTGCACACTGGCCTCAGTGTTCTACATCTTGACATTTTTTTCAGTTCTTCCTTTAATATGGTAACAGAACAGATTCTGTGATTAGTTGGAAAGGCAATTTAAGTAGCTTTTCTCCTTAGAACATAGCTTACCCTTTTACTTTGTTACTCTAAATAGGTTAAACGTAGTTTATAAGAAACATATTCATAATAGACAAACTACTGAATTAGCAGCCAAAATGTGTTGGCACCACACACACACACACACACACACACACACACACACACACACACACACACCTGCCCCAGTTCCTCCATGAGGAAAAAGTCTTTAATTCAAAACTTTAGAGCTAAAAAAATATAAAATGATTAGTAACCTACTGTGATGTATAATGGCTTGGAAAGTGATTTTTAATAAAATCCTAATCATATATTTTTTTCTTTGTAATAAAACCAATAAAGGATTTGAGTTGGGAAAGGTTAAACAAAAACTGGTCCCTTTGCTGATAGAATGTTCTTCCTGAGTGTTAGTGGCCTATATGTTAGCAGCATGCTCTGTATCATGATCTCTATAAAACCATAAAAGAGAAAAAAGAAAATAAGAGTGTATGTTGTAAAATAATTATAACATTAACAACCACATTTGTGGATTTTTTTTTTTTTTTTTTTTTTTTTTTTTGGTTTGGTTTTTGTTTTTGAGACAGGGTTTCTTTGTATTGCAGCTCTGGCTGTCCTTTAACTCGATTTGTGGATCAGGCTGGCCTCAAACTTGCAGAGATCACCTACCTCTGCCTCCCAAGTGCTGGGATTAAAGGCGTCTGCTACCACCCAGCTCATATTTGTGTTGTCATTGTATTGTCACACAATAAAGGAGAGGTTCACATCTCGTGACAAAGGGGCACATAGCATGTGAATGAGCAGCATTTGTGAGTGTGTCTGTTTAATCTCTCTGGTGGGCATTTAATAATGCTAGGACTGGTTATAAAACATTTGGAATCCACAGTATTACTGTTCATAGTTCCTAATCCATGAGAATTTGTTATCTTAGTGGTTTTTATGATGCTGTGCAAATTCTTTACGATGGGACTTTTTTCCCCTGACAGGTGCATCCCTTGTAAAGGTTCTCGGTTCCCTCCCACCCTTCCGCGTCCTGCCGTGGCCATACTATCCTTTAAGCTTCCTTATTGTCAGACTACGACAGAGAAAGGCCAAATGGAGGTATGTGGATATCTTAATACTCTGAATTTGAGAGTAAGTACCTGTGACTCAGAGGGCTTTACGTCCTCACCATGGCCAGTGTTGAGTAATGCTACGCTATGATTAAAATAATGCAGTAGGACCACTGCTTGTGGTCCCAAGGTCACCTGATGTGGTTGCTGTCACAGCTTCCAGGGCTCACTGCTAGTGGCTGGGAGGGCCTTACCAGGGATGAACCCGTCCTGCTAGGGTAAGCCTGCTGCCCACTGATTGTAAACTCTAGACCTAGCCCCGCGGTCCTAAGAGATATTCGAAACCTTGCAGTTAGTTATTCTAGTTATGAAGCAAGTCATCTACTGAATAGACTATATAATATAGTCACCTTTTTTCAAAGAGTAGAACATAAAGCCAAGGTATAATGTCACATTGAAAATAGAGTTGTAAAATAAGCTTATATAGAAAGGGTTTCAGAAAATATATTAAAGCTGCTATCTTAAGATGTACTTAATACTTGTGGGGCATTAAAAAGGATGTTAGTTTTATGCACTTTGATCCATTTTTGCAGGAACAATTTTGGCATTCAGTCCTGTTTCACAACTATCTTGATTACTTGGCTAAAAATGGTTATGATTATGAGGAGAACATTAAAAATCAGGCTGTAAAAGAGCAACAAGAACTTTTGATGAAAATGCTAGCGGTGAGTAAAATGTGCTGAAAAAAATAGTGTTTAAATATTTCCTTAGATTGAAATCCTTTTATCTTTAAAACAGGGTTTCTCTACATAGCCCTGGCTGTCCTGGGACTTGCTTTGTAGACCAGTCCAGCCTCGGACTCGGAGATCCTCCCACCTCTGCCTTCTGAGTGAGCAAAAGTGTGAATCACCATGCCCAGCCCTGCGTGGAATTTCTTAAAGACAGATAAATAAACACTAAATTCTACCATCTGGGATTCATAGATTTATCTTTCCCCTTAAAGTGTCTCTCTCCCGCTTCATGATACAGTTAAATGTTTGAACGATTTCCCTGTAGCTGAGCTGGAGAGGAGGCTTTCCTGTGTTCCAGCAGGCGGTCCAACGTGCTCCAGGTTACTTGCAAGTCTGAGAGCCATTGTCGTGATTCCTGCTTGTCTACACCACAAAATTAGGTGTGGACTGTTCCAGATCTCTAGGGTTAGACAGTTTTAAGAATGTCCTTAGGCATTTGGATTTCCCAGCCTTTTGCCCTCACCAGTGGCCAGGTTTGGCCTCGGAGCAGGGCCTCTTAAGGTTCCTTGTGCTCGCTTCACCTTTGTTTTTGAAAGGAGTGTAATCCTATATCTTCTCCACCGGATGTGCGCTGCTGACCCTTGAGGGAAGTGACCATTAATTCATTCCAGCCAGTGTCCTCTGAGTCAGAGTTCCACCTTGGTTGAAAGTGCTCCTCTGGACTTAACCATACCAACAGTTCAAAGGAGGCTGAGGTGAATGTGTAAGGCTTTGTGCTCATAGGTCAGATGTGTAACTCATAAAATTCTCCTGCACTGTGAGTTCTCAGAGTCCTGGTTCCCTCAGTGGTAAGACACATTTTGGGTTGTCATGTGCTGGGTTTTTAGAATTCAAACTAAAAAGAAGAACCAGTATTCTCTAAGACATAGTAAATGAACTTTGTTCCTCCTCTTCTTCCTTTCTAATATTTATTTTTACTTTATGTGTATGAGTATTTACCTGCATGTGTGTATGTGTACCATGTGAGTCCCTGATGGACACAAAGGGCCAGTAGATGGTATTAAGTCCTCTGGAGTTCCAGAGAGTTAGGGGCCCCTGTGGGTGTCAGGAATATAACCCAAGCCCACTTTAAGAGCAGCAAGCGTTCTTTGAAAGGACTGGAATTAACACAGGGTACCACAAGATCTAGGGCAAGGAATAAGAGACAAAGACAGGAGACCAAATGAGGGAGATGGGTTTTTGTCATAGCCAGAGGACTGTGTCTGGGTAGAAGAACAGCTGTGGCCCGTAGTCAAATGACATTTATAAAGGGGAAAAGGGAGACCGTGTTAGGATGAGCTGGTTTGTTTTGATTGGGCCTGTTAATTAGGGCAGCCAAAAGGGGGCTTTTGATTTCTGGTCTTCAGTATTTTGATTCCAAGACCTTAGTATTTAGCCACAGGAGGAGGAAGTGGCCAATTAAGGGAGTAGACCTTGGTGGCAGCTTTAGGAATGTGATCTGTGGCTTAGCCGGGAGGAGGGAAGGGGAAAGGGCAAGGCCATGTTTGCCAAGCAACATTTCATTTGTACCACTGAGTCATCCCTCCTGCCCCAGAACACCCTCCATTTTATATTATAGGCATAAAACGTTGTACTAATGTTCATTTAGAAGTTGTCTAGTTATTTCTGGTAGTTGAAGAACATGAAATTTTAAGAATGTTTACTTCTCCCATCCAGATCCCCTTAGTGGCATTTGAGCAAAGTAATAACTGGTTATTATTATAATTCACTTTTTAAAATTTCCTGCCCTATTGTGATTCGGTGGTAGCTGGAAAAAAATTTAGGAAAACTGCATTTCAATTTTGAACAGCTGCTTTTTCATATAGTTAACATGTGAAATATGTCATGTCTCCCTGAATCTAAGCTACTATTTGTAAATGCACCATTATTTTATTTATTTAGGCCACTAAGAAATACTGCTACTTGCCGGGTAGTGGTGGCACACACATTTAATCCCAGCACTCAGGAGGCAGAGACAGATGGATCTCTGTGAGTTCGAGACCGAGACCAGCCTGGTCTACAAGAGCTAGTTCCAGGATAGCTTCCAAAGTCAAAAAAAGAAAAAAAGAAAAGAAATACTACTAGTCCAGCCAACCCACCATTAATATAAGATACTTTTCAATTTTGTCATGTAAAAATGTGCATTTTAGAAGCTAGTCCTGCCAGTCCATTTATTTATTTATTTATTTATTTTAAATTTGACTTACCATGATTTGATTTTGATTTCCCCCTGTGATTAGCTTTCTTGTAAACTGGAACGAGAATTCCGCTGTGTGGAACTTGCCAGTCTAATGACTCCAAATGCTGTGAACTTAGCCATTAAATACGCTTCTCGCTCTCGGAAATTAATACTGGCTCAGAAACTTAGTGACCTTGCTGCAGAAAAGGCTGCTGAATTGGCAGAAGCCCAGACAGAAGAAGAAAAAGAAGAAGACTTCAGAATGAAACTGAATGCTGGGTAAAAGAACAACAGCTATTTGAATTTTACTTTACTGTCCTGAATATGAAGTTGGTCTTGCATTTGTTCCTTATGGAATAATACTATTATCCGTCAGTTACAGTCATACCACTACGGAATGGAGTCAACCACGGGCCAGAAATCAAGTTGAAGAAGACACTGAGGACAGAGAAGAGACTGTTCCAGAAGAAAAACCGGAGCCACACAACCACGGTGAGACACGTTTTCAAGTACTGAAAGATAAGGAGGCCAGCTGGTGATGGCACTTGCCATGCTGTGCCATGCTGGCAGCCTGAGTGCAACTCCAGAGCACTCCAAGAGGACGCTGCAAAGTTGTCCTCTGACCTCCGTGTGCACCAAGTGCTGTCCCCCAACAACGATAGATTAGATAGATATGTAGGTAGGTATAGAAAGGTAGGTAGATAGGTAGATAGATAACGATAAATTAGATAGGTAGATAGATAGATGATGGAAGCTATTGTGGGCATTGCTTTTTCCATTTTGGGTGACAGGGAAATTGAGTTCCCATATTTTTCATGGTATTTCTGCTGTCTAGGTGTTGAATATCAAGGATGACTTCATTTTCCTCACTTACTCATTGCGTTGTTTTAATTATAGGGTCGAACTTATTACAAAATGCAAATTCCCCTGATGTGCCAGCTCTGAAATCAGGTGAGAAATGTATGTAAACTTGGAGCATATAACCATAGCTGTAATCTAGTTAGAAGAGGATAGGTACCAGAGGATGTTCTCATGGAGTGCCGACAGCAGACACTAGAGATGAATTACCAGCAAGGGAGTAGTGGATGGGAGCAGGGGCAGAGGAAACAATGTGTGAAGACTCCAGAAAAAGAAGACTCTATGAGGCAAAAAGAGCAGTTTGGTAGGCCTTGGAGGGATAGGCTACAGCAAATATTAAAGATTTTTATAGATTAAAGAATTTTATGAATTGCAGTCTTCATTGTTAGGTCCCTGGAAAGCTGCTGTGGATTCTAAGCAGAACATAACCATCATACATGATACTGAGGAGGAAAGGACATAAGAGTACTAGAGCAGTCCAAGTGAAACCAAATAGTTTGGCTTGGGATAGAGTAGTGATAGAAGGTAGCATTGTTGAGTGCTCCTATGGTGGAAGATGGTTGAGAGTGAAGAACAGTATAGCATCAGAAACACTAGAGAAAAGCAAACAAGTTTAGCAGGGAAGCTGATGTGTTACCATTAACTAAGTGGTCACATAGGCATTTACTTAAAAAAATTCTTGAAATAAATCTGAAACCATTGGCATAAGCAGAGAAGTTTATACCTTGGGCACAGATAAGCATGCTTTAGAGTCTGTAAAGCAAGAAGAAACACTCTCAGTTGAGGGGATTTGTAGCATTTAAACATCAAGAATAGGAGAGGAAGAGAGGAGGGGGAGGGAAGGTGGGAGGGAGAGAGCCACTGGTCCAGGGAGGAGAAAATTTTGAAGGAAGAATCCAGTATATGGAAAGTCATTGAGAGGTCAAATAAAGGAGCAGAAAGTAGCCATCACGTTTGGTTACCTAGAAATGGGTTGGGGGTCTTAGCTGTCATGTAGGCGGGCTGGACTTTATACCATTGTATGGAGAGATGTATGGGCAAGGAGAAAATGATAGTAGTGACGTCAATGGCTTTTGAAAGATTTTGGTAGGGGTTGTGAGAGAAGATGGTACTTGGAAGTGCAAAGAGTTTGTTTTGTTTTTGAGAGGCGAATGAAAGGGGGCAAATGTCAGAAGATGGGAAAGAGGCAACACAAGGTTGTTTTCTTGATAGGTGGGTGTGGTGTCCACATTCAAGGGTTACTGACCTTAGCACCATGTTGCATGGTCACAATATGTTTCACAGCAGCAAACTGAGATAGTTCGCCTCTAATGTTATCTTGTCTTAGAAGAAGGAAAGAGGTCATCGGTATTTGTTAATTGTATTAAAGTCACATAGGGGCCAGTGTGGCAGCACACACCTTTAATACTAGTACTAGAGAGGCAGAGGCAGAGGGGGTCAATGTAAGTTTGAGGCCAGTCATACTGACTTAGTGAGACTCACCACCAACAACAAAAAGTTGCACAGTACCTTTGTTTCATATAATACAAATTAAAATATTCTATTTATTATTATGAAAGTCAGAAGCTTTCTTTAAAAAAAAAACAAAAAAAACCAAAAAACACTATTGAGAGTTTTCTCCTTGTTGTAGGTGCGGTTTTCTCTAGCAGCCAAGGACGGGTAAACCCCTTCAAGGTAACCAATGATGTTTTCTGTTTGGATAATATTAAAGATATCTCCAAGCTGGGTGTTGGTAGTGGGTAGTGCATGCCTTTAATCCCAGCACTCAGGAGGCAGCAGCTGGTGGATTTCTGTGCGTTCCAGGCCAGCCTGGTCTACAGAGCTAGTTTCAGGACAGGCTCCAAAACAATACAGAGAAACCTTATCTTGAAAAACCAAAACAAACAAACAAACAAAAAACCCCTCTGGGGGTTAAAGGCAGATAGATCACTTCAGGTTCCTTTGCTCTGAGTACTGAGTGCTCGTGATTTTGAGAGCTGCTCCCTGTTTGTCTGTAGGGTGTGGTATTTGAGAGAGTATGCTTCAGTCTCAATTTAGGTTGTACTCCATGAATTCATTTCCAAAGAGGATACTACAACAGGGTTGTTTCCTTCTTCATATAATGTGTTCTTTTCTCTTCAGGTGCTAGTTAATTCCAAAGAACCAACTGTATCAATGAGTTCCACACGCTCAACTAATATTTTAGACAATATGAACAAATCATCCAGGAAGTCCACCCCACTTATTCGACCAGCAAATAATGAAAAATCCCCAGTCATAAAGCCTCTCGTCCCCAAGCCAAAGTCTAAGCAGGTACTGCTTTGGTGGCCTTGTGCACTCTGTGCTGGGGTAGATGGAGGTCCCTGTCCTTTATCACTGTGTGACTGGGGAGTTTGTTCAGTCCAGGGTTAGCCCCAGGATCCTCTTTTAAATGTGTATGTTTGTCCCCAGACTCACACATCTGTTTGTTTTCATAGACATCTGCAGCATCCTATTTCCAGAAAAGAACTTCACAGGCCGATCAGAGTGAAGAAGTAAAAGAAAATCCTAAAAATTCGTCATCTGAAACTCCAGCTATGTGCCTTCAAAACTCTGAAAACCAAAGGTCAGTGTACAGAGAAATTTGAAGATGCAGTGTCTCAGCCAGGTGTGGTGGCTTAACCCTTTAATCCTAGCATTTGGGAGGCAGAGGCAAGCAGACCTCTGTGAGTTCAAGGCCAGCCAAGTCTACAAAGCAAGTTTCAGGACAGCCAAGAGCTAATAGCGAGACTTTGTTTCAAAATTAATTAATTAAAAATAACATTTTAATTGTAAATACCTTTGTCATTCAGGCTAATCATTTAAGATCTGTTCAGCTCAGCAAATCAAGAGGCAGTATAGCTAGCAAGTGGACTAAACATGGGAATTCCAGTGTCAGACTGCTTAACTGACTTGGTTGCCTGGTTAATCTGTAAGATACTAATTATTTCCAAATCATAGGGTTTTACTCTAAGGTAATATACATAAAGTGTTTAGGATGCATGGCAGCAAGTGTGAGAGACTTAAGTATTTCCATTAAACCTTCTGATGACTTAAACAGTTTATGCAGAGGGTCTAATAGTATCCAGTTAAATTTACATGTGTGCTTTGTCCATGCTCTCCCTAATGATGGTGCAGGAAGAACCCAGGTCAGGGCTGAGAGGGTGAAGTAGTGGAAGGGCTGAGAAGTCAGCAGGGTTTCAGATAGCTGCTTTGCTTAATGGTGAGCCTGTGAAAATGACAGCAGGAGGAATTCTCAGGCCAGATGGGCTCAGAGAGGTTGGAGACCTTGAACCTATAAACACACAAAGCCTTAAAATGCACTGACAGCTATAAAGGAAAGTGATCCTTCTGAATTGATCCTGCAAAGGATTATCCAGCTCCCTGATCCTGTAATGTGCAAGCTGTTGAAAGTAATATGGATATTATTAACTAGTATAGTTTCGTCTCCCTTACTTCATATGAGTCTTGAAAGGCTAATGGTTAGTTATTAATTTCAAAAGTCATGTAACACTTTAAATAGTCTATTTCTCATAATTTTTTTTCCACATAATTATTACTTTAGGCCAAAGACTGGGTTCCAGATGTGGCTGGAAGAAAATAGAAGTCATATTTTGTGTGACAATCCTGACTTTTCAGATGAAGCAGACATAATAAAAGAGGGAATGATTCGATTTAGAGTATTGTCTGCTGAAGAAAGGAAGGTAAGGATCACTGCGCTGAGATCTCAGTGGATTTCCCAGGTTTAAAAAGTTCTTTATAAAAAATGCCTTTCTAGTTGAAAAATTGAATACATTAAAAAAAAAAAAAAGATCTCAGTGAAGAGGAAATTAGATGTGACGAGCAGACCTGTGATTGTTACTGAGTACCTATGGATAATTTTAGAAGTTACCTGTGTAAATGTGTGTCCTTAGGGAACTACTCCCCCAAAAGGATGCTTTAGTTATGAATTGAAAATAAAAGGACTGATAAAATGAATTGAACTTAAACTTTAAACTACTACTTTCAAGTCCATAAAGTAGAAAAAAATATTTAATGCTATTCTACTTATATGAGAATAGTTCCTTTTGTTGGAAAACCTTGGTGCACAGAAGTTAGGCTGGGTAGCTGGATCACAAATGTTGTGTTAGGGAGGAAGGAATGTGGGTGGTATGCCAGTTAAACCTCAGACTTTACTTCCTCAGAGAGGCAGCGTGTAGTGTAGTCTACACACACACACACAGTAGACACTGGCTTTGATGAATTGGGTTTATGAGTGACAGGTATTGCGTGATCCAGAAGCTAGAAAATGACCATTTCCAGCTGCATTTAGAACCTTCTTAGCATTTTTGTTTTATGAATAAATGTACATGAATGAATTTGTTTCAGAAGAGGAAGAGTCTTAACAAAATTTGTGATTGTATGTTTTTTGATTTTAATTCATGGGAGATTTGTATTTCTGTATATAGAATGTAGGGCTTTGAATGTTGAGTAAGCACTCTTCCACTGAACTATATTTTCATCCCATGGTTATTTATGGCTGTGGGAGTTATCTGGTTTTGTGAGAGGCCATTGCTCTGTAGCCCTGAGTGGCCTGGAACTCACTGTGTAAGTAAGACTGGCTTCACACTTTGGGCAGGTCCTCCTGCCTCTGCCCACTCCCCCTCCATGTACTGAAATTATTACAGTGTTGAGCCTAGTTGCTGATTGTGTTTTGTCTTATTTTTTTTTAATGTACATGCATGTGCATTTGCCTTCATGTGTAAATAAATGTACACCATGTTTGTGCTTAATACCTATGGAAAGTACATTCTTCTTTGTTCCCCACCCCCTAGGTATATATGATTGATTGATTGATTGTTGGGATAAGATCTAATTAACTAGCCCAGACTGCCCTTGAATTTTTGACAGTGCTGTCTCAGCAGCCTCCCAAGTGTCCAGAGTTAGGTGTTGAGCACTACCTCCATGTGGATATTACCTCAGTGAGCTGTGATGTAGACCCTGATGATCAGACCTGAAACTTTTCGTGTACCTGCTGGCCATTGTGTGTATCTTGAGAATATCTGCTTAGAATCCATTGTGTATTTTTAACTTGATTGTTTGGAGTTTTGCTATTTTCTGCATTGCTTAAATATTATGGTTATCCACCCCTTGTTCAAATGGTTAGTTTAGTTTGCAAATATTATCTTTCAAATAGGAAATCTAAATCTATCAACAATTAGAGCCTTTATTGATAAACTTAAAAATTCAAGTGCTAATTACTCTTCTGTATAGAAGAACATTACCCATGGAAGTAAGTAGACCATTTGTATCCTATTTTTTCCTTCCTGCATAAAATTCTCTTCACCCCACTGTTTTACAAAGGCATGGACCAATAAGGCCAAGGGAGAGATTGCCAGTGATGGAGCTGAAGCCAAGAAGCGAAAACATGAGATGTGTGAGGCAGAAAACCAGGAAGAAGCCACAAAGGAGAATATGGATCTGTCTAAAAAGCAGAAATCGTCAGCTCTTTCCACCAATCAGAAACTGTCGGCTTTCGCATTTAAACAAGAATAAAGGAATGGAAGGGTCGGGAAATACTGAAACTTGGATCCAGTTTTTGGTTGACCCTGGACTTATTTTAGTCTTCAGAGAACATATTACTATACTTGTCTGAGTTGAGAGCCAGTGGTGGGCAGGGGTGCAGCTCAGTGCTGGAGGGCTTGCCTAGCATGCACAAGGCCCTGGGTTCCATCCTTATTGCCACAAAAGCCAGAAAAGTAAAGTGGGGAGTTGCTTCATCAGAAACACAACATAAGAGGTCTCTTGCCATCCCCAGACAGAAGTATTGTGATTACAGTTACTTCCAGGAACACCATCATATCCCTGGGGGTGCCATTTTTACTTTTTCTTATCTTTAAAAATCATTAAAAGCCTCAATCTTAAGACCTCTGCAGATTATAGTACCTTCTAAAGTTTCCTCCTTCTGTTTATGTGCCATGGTCGTTGACTTCCCGAGTGAGTTATTACAGACTACTTTCTTGTCAACTTGATCTCAGGACTGTGGCTGTTAATATGGACCCCAATGTGTAAATAATCTTGTAAATGAGATATGTTATTTTGTGTGTCTGGGAACTTTTTTAATCTATGACTTCCTGTTATGTTTGTACAGCCGGGGTCTTTTAAATAAATAAACTTTCTCATTTGTACATTTGTCTTGATATGGTGCTAACATCGACTTTCCATGTCCCACATTCTGCCACATCATTTGTGGGGTAGAGAACAGCTGAAGGCCTTTCTTAGAGATTGTGGCTGTGTGAACATTTGTGCTGCTGGGTGATGCCCTTATCAGCAGCAGCAGGGTTCTGCTGAGTGAGTCTTCGAAAGCTCGATAAGACTAGTTAGAAGAAAGGGAAGTGGCTAACTGCTCTTTTAAACAGCCACCGTTTAATTATTTTGTGTATTTGGTGTGTGTGTGTGTGTGTGTGTGTGTGCATGTGCGTGTGAGTGCAGGTTAATATGCTGCATCTTAGCTATCAGTCCTAGCCTCCTCTTGTTTGAAGTGGAGTCTCTTTTGTCTACAATGGCCTATGTGCTTCTGAGGATTTTTCCTATCTCTGCCTCTCATCTCACTGTAGGAGCCTTGGGATTGCAGATGTATGTTTGGTGCCAGCTTCATGTGGGTCCCGGGGATTGTGTAATGAGTACCCTACTCACAGCCATCTCCTCAGCCCCACATTTTGTCCATTGTCAGCAGAGATTAATAATACAAAAACACATAGCCGAAGTATGGATGCAAATAGTAAGTGAGATGACTCACAACCAGGGTAGTTCATAGGTTGAAAAGACATGGAGGCCATTCAGGGCTATATAGTGAGATCCTAGCTCAAAAAAATCCCAGGGCTACCTACTAAGACCCTATCTCAAACAAACAAACAAACAAGTAAACCCATAGAGGAAAAAAAAAAGACAAAAAATAAATCCAAAGTGCTGCTTTCCAGTCCTCTGCCTCCTCTTCTCCCACACAAACTTTGTGAACAACTTGATCTCAAACATAATTGGGGGAATCTATTCTTTTTTATTACTATTTCTACTTTATGTACATTGGTGTTTTGCCTGCAGGTAAGTCTGTATGAGGGCATTGGATCCCTGGAACAGGAATTGTAGAAAGTTGTGAACTGCTGTATAGGTGCTGGGAATTGAACCCCGGGTCCTCTGGAAGAGCAGCCTGTGCTCCTAACTGCCAAGCCATCTCTCCAGCTTCAGGGGGAATCTATTCTTAGGTATATGATCCTGTAGTAAGAAACTAACTGGCTCTCATACAGTGTCTAGTGTAAATGCATGTTCCATATAGGAAATGACAAAAAAAGAAAAGAACTAGCCATTTTAAAACAACAAACCTAGAATTTAAAGTGTGTCTTTGTGCCACAGAAGGCAGAAGGTGTGGCCCATCTAATTTCTCCTTAATCTGTGATGATATTCTACAGTGAAAGAACATAGACAGAAAATAAACAACAGCATAAAACAGCCAACAAAACCAATAATTTAGAAAATTCTCTGGTGAGAATGACAAAAATAGAAAAGGAAAAACACAAATAAATAATCTATGAATGAAAAGGAAAGTATTAGCTGCAAATGGTACAGATAGGAAAATGGCTGGTGATGCTCAGTTTATAGATCAACTTGTCAAGGTTGTGAGTAGTGCTCAAACAATCTGTTGTGAAGGTACTTCATGCAGTATGTTAAGAGACTGTACTAAGTAAGAGAGGATATTCTAGAAAATGGGAAGGGGCTCGTTGGGTCACTGAGGAAGAAGGAATTGTAACTGTAGACATCATCATCTCGGGCCCTCTATTTCCAGCCTACTCTACTGGAAAACCTGCCTTGTGGACTCAGGATTTCATACCTGTGCTGCAGCTGCAGCCCATATGCATATGAACCAATTCTTCCTTTGCAATATATTCATCCCCGTCTTTTTTTTTTAAAGATTAATTAATTAATTTATTGTGTATACAGCCTCGCATATATGCCTGCACACCAGAAGAAGGCACCAGATCTCACTAGAGATGGTTGTGAGCCACCATGTGGTTGCTGGGAATTGAACTCAGGACCTCTGGAAGAACAGTGTTGTAGTGCTGTTAACCTCTGAGCCATCTCTCCAGCCCCTCATCCCCGTCTTATACGTAAAGATGTATCAGTGCCAACTTTTCAGTGTATGAAAGAAGGTGACTTCAGAGGTAGGGCTTTGTGTTTGTTTGGTAAACAAGCTTTCTTACCTTAGTGTATTTAAATCTATTATATGCTGTTTACTGATGGTGGAAAGACAGACTGTTTACTATAGTTGGAAGACACTTTCTTCCTAGTTAGAAAATGACCAGCTAGGCAGTGGTGGTGCACACCTTTGATCCCAGTGCTCAGGAGGCAGAAATAGGTGGATCTCTGTGAGTTCAAAGCCAGTCTGGTCTACATAGTGAGTTCTAGGACAGCCAGGTATATGTAGAGAACAATCAAACAAAAGTGTTTTGCCCAGGGTTGTAAATGGTTACCTTCAAAGAGTGTTCCTCTGAAAGTAGCTGGCTTAGAAATTGATAGTTTTTCTAAAGGGAGGTTATTAATGTGGCACAGTAAGATAGGGACTCTATGACATTTCCCTCTAAAACAAAATGTTACAGCAACTGATAAAAATTGTAGCTGGGTGTACGTAGACAAATAATAAAAAAAAAAACTTCAAACTACATTGGAAAACAAAATCCACAAACATACAATCCAATTAGCAAATGAGCAGAATGTACACAGACAGCAAATGTACTGTAAGAAAATTTTCAGTAGCATTTGTCATTTCAGTATGCAAATTAAAATTACAATAAGGTATCACTGCATGTCTGTCAGAGTAGCCAAAATGAAAAATAGTGGTTAAAAGAAATACTACTGAAGATGCAGGGAAACTAAATGTGCACATTTTGCTGGTAGGAATGTAAAATTTCACTCATAGTACAATCTGGCAGTTTCTTTCAAAGCTACTATACCAGCATTTGGGAGGTAAACAAATGAAAAGCAGAAGTTCTAGGAAGGTCAACCTTAGCTACATTGCAGTCTGAAACCAGATTGGGCTTGATGAGACCCTGTCTCAAAAACAAACAACTGTTTGTTGAGTTGGTTGAAAGCCTGGCTAACATGGACAAAGCCCTGGGTTCAATCACCAGCACCACATAAAAACAGGTATGATGCACATGCATAATCCCACTTGGCTACATAGCAATTTTGAGGCCAGCCTGGGCTCCATGATACTGTGTCAAAACAAGCAAACAAACAGAGCGATACAGGACCCCACTAAAATGAGCTTGCCATGTAATTTAGCATCTTCTGTATCTATCCCAGAAAAAATGAATTTTAATTTGTAAATTGTAATAGTCCCAAATCTGTAAACTACCCATGTTTCTTGACACAACTAGTATGTGAGATGAGGGTACCTCAACTGCGAATTGCCTACCCCATTTTGACCTATGGGCATGTCTGGAGCATTTTCCTATCTGCTTATTGATACAGTAAGGCTCAGTGCACTGTCTGAAGTACCATCCTTAGGCAGGTGAGTCTTGGCTATTGTGTGAGTTACTTTTCTGTTGCTGTAAAGAGACACCATGACCAAAACAACGGAGGAACCAGTTTTTTAGGAGCTTACAGTTTCAGAGAGTTAGAGTCCTTGACCAGCATGGTAGCCAGCATGGTGGCAGGCAGGCATGGGCTGGGGCAGTGGTTGAGAGCTCACATCTTGATCCTCAAGCACTGGGCAGAGAGAGCTAACTGTAAGTCCATCAAAGGCATATCTCCTAACCCTTTTCCAAACAGTTGCACCAACGGGAACCAAGTATTCAACCATATGAGCCTATGGGGCCATTCTCATCAAACCACAGCTATATCAGAAAAGTAACTGAGCAAACCAGGAGGCAGGAAGTAGCTTTTCTCCATGGTGTCTACTTCAGTTCCTGTTTCCAGGTTTTTGCCTTGAGTTCCTCCCTCGACTAACATTGGAAGTAAGCCACACAGACCAATTCCTCCACCAAGCTGCTTCAAGTCAGTGTTTTATCACAGCAACAGAAAGCAAACTAGGACACTATCCAAACATCCCTCAGTAGGTTACTGAATAAATGATGGTATTTACATGCAATGGGATATTGTGCAACTACAACAAAACTCTGTACAGTCAATACTTTGTATTAACCACAGGAATATTATGCAGTGTGAAAAATCCAACCTCAAAGAATATATATACTACAATATTACAATCAAGAAATAACACAGGGCCCAACAGAGGTGACTCAGTAGTTAAGAACACTTACTGCTCTTTGAGAGGTGCTGAGTTCAGTTCCCAGGATTCATGTAGGGCGGCTCACAACTGCCTGTAATTCTATCTTAAGGGGATCCCATACCGTCTTTTGGATTCTGTGAGTACCTGCACATGTGTGTCTTATGTTCACATGGATACAAACACAGAAATAGAATAACACAAGCACAGAGATAGAGAGCTTAATGGCTAAAGAATTAAGACGAGAAGAAGGGTGTGGTGAGGGAGCAACAGGAGGGATCCTGTGATGATTAGTCTTTATTGAGTGGCATGAACCAAAGTAACCAGTTACTTAGAGGAAAGATGTATTTTGCTCATGGTTTC